AACCAAATCAGAATGGACAAAAGCTGTGCATGAAGAACTGCCTTCTTCTAAGATATAACCTCCAGGCTTATCTCCTCTATTTTCAATGAACTGCTAGCCTGTATGCAATATTAAAAAACAGCTGTCTCAAGATCTGTGCATATCTCCACATACCTCCATTACTAACAATGAAATAGGAATGCTAGTTATGCTACACTTGACCAAATAGTAATAAATGTTTACTTCCGTTTATATAATTTAAGGGGAAATTGTAAGCATTAAGCATTCCAAGCTTTTATATGCCCATGTCTTCTGAGCAGGGCCACCTTTTTTTTTTTTTAATATCTACTTTCTAACGACCAACTCTAAAACTAGGAGTTGATCAACTCTTTCTTTCCCTCCGCTCTACTTTTCCCTGTGCATATATCCATGCAAAAGCAGCAGTAGAAAACCCAACTTTTTTTTATTACATTCAACTCATAATTTATATGGCATCAGTCCCATCAGCTGGAACTGGCCTAAACATATGGTGCAAATAGGACACTTTCCAACAAATAATAACAGCAAGATAAACACCTACTGATGCAACACAATGCATCCCAATGGGTGTGGGGGTTGTGGCTCAACTTCAGCTTAGAGAAATCTATGAGGGACACCCCCTTTGTGAGCATTCACCACACAAGAAGCACAAACTCGTGCACATGTCCAAGAAGGAGATCTCATTATACAGTTACTATCAATGGCAAGGCTTCTGCCCCCGTTGTGTTATATACAGTGTGATGAAGCAAACAGGAAAAAGAGAAGGGGGACATAGTAGGTTGGTTTGAATACGAGTGCTGTACTGTTTTTATTCTGTTTCACTACAGTTATCCCACATAAAGAGGGGGGGGGGGGGAATGCATAGATAATCTCATGACTTCTATTAAAGCCAAGTAATTGCTTGTAAGGCAAATTTTTATTTTAACTTGAATATTGATTTTTCATGCTGTTTTCTTAATTATGTTATTCAAATTCCTTCACATCTGATTGTCCCCAGGGACCACACTAAAAAAGAAGCTGCAGATAGTGATGGTGCTTGTTAGGGGTCAAGGGCAGTATAGTGCTTTTTCATTCATAGCAATCTCCCAGAGCAGAGCCCTCACACCTCAAAGGCATGTTGATTTGTGTCAAAATAGACACTAGTTTCTTTTAGCATTCAGTAAGGAGATAACACAGAAAACTTCGTGTTTGCAGAAAAACAACTGCAAGCTCCAAAGACATTCTAATCTCTCAAATACATTTGACATAAACCCAAGCATAACAGTCCTTTGCTATTTTTCTAACCTTGTTATCCATGTTGTCTGAAATAATGTCATACATAAAAAGTGTTTTTCTTCACTGGGAAAAGAAGAGCGAAAAGGGCCCCACTGTTGAAATGTTGCATTTTTGTTTATTAATACAGGAAATGAAGAAAAGCTGGTGAGGGACATAAGACAAAGTTCATTTCATATGAAGCCATGCCTTGTTCTCATTATATTAGTCTGTGTCTTGTTGTGCATTGTGTTCCTTGCACTCCAATATGAAGCATTCTTTTCGTAGGAATTATTTGCAATACCCAGCACCCCTTGCTGCAGTGTACTTTCTGTCAATCAGGGAATATACATGTTATAGAAATTTAGATTTCAGTTGTCATCTAGAAAGAATATTTCCCAAGATAGAATTGAATGTGTAAGTTACATCATATGGAATTTGGGAACCTATAAAATTCAGTATACATTTCAATATCTGAAAAATTGTCGATTCCAATGGAGCTATTATTTATTTATGAAATCAGAACATGAGGATTATGCTGACCATTTCACAATTCTAATGCTTTAATACATAATAGGATAAAACTACTGCTGCAGTTCTCTTTGAATATATTACCATATGTCCTTTATTTTGGGCAAGCCAATGAGCTTGACCTTCTAATATAGGAGGCATGTATTATTTTTAGAACTTGGTGTTACATGTATGTAAATATTCATTAATTCAAGCAATTTAAGGGGCAAGGCAGATCTATTTGTTACCACTTGTATTTTTTTTTCATTTAAAGTATGAGTTTTCTCTATAACTTATTATAAAATTAATCCCTTATAAACAGCATTTTCTCTTAAAAAAAAAAAAGTCTTCTAGAGATAATTTTAGTAAAGCATATTACCCTTAATTGAGGGTTAAACAAGAATAATAAAAAAAAGAGAAAATCATGTTACAATTGGAAAAATGCTTTTGAAATGCTGTAGTATTATTAATTTCATGGATATCACATTTTATTCTGTCATATGAAGACAATAATCTTAAAAATAGAAAATTGACTCTGTAGGATCAGAAGTATTCTAAATATCCTGAGTTCTTTGTAACTTCCTGCATATATAAGTTGACAAAAAATTTTAACCATCACTATTGTAGCACAATTTTTTGAATGGCAATGCAAATTTAAGAAAGATATATATTTTTGGCAGGCTTTAAATATGACAAAAATCTAAATGTGTTGTTTTTTAACATATGTCCCAATGTTCTTTAACAGTAAGTGTATTTTTGTGCAAGTCAATGAACTGGACTTTCCAGGACATTTAAATATTACATTTTATGACATTGTCAGTCCATGTGTCAAACCGTGTGTCCAAATTTTGGGTTCAGAAAATTTCTCAATTGCCACAAATGTTTTCAAAGTCAAAATGAAACACTTTAAAATGAAACTAGTTAGACTTTCACATAACAAATGTGGTGCTTTATTATTATTATTATTATTATTATTTATTTTACTGCTCACTAAAATTATTGCTTCCATTCTATAACATAAAAATCTAGGTGTTCAGCCCTCATAAGATCAAAAGAGAAAGTGTTCTTTTTCTATTAGTGACATAGAGTTCCTTTGTTCCAATAGAAAAAAAATAGATGCCAACAGGTAGAATATAGAGTAAATGTCAGTCCATCAACCTACTTCCTGCAGCTTCTGAATTATCTAAGGAAATATCTATAACAATTTTGCTAAAAGTCTTTGTTCTAGTCAATAGCAGGAGAAGTCCACATTATTGGGCTGATTTTGCTTTCATTGACAAGAGAAATGTCACGTGATACTCAGGCCAAGCTTTCTCTTCCGTCATATCACCTTCAAGGAATGTCAATAAACTCACTTTGGTATGGCATTGTCTGTGTTCCTTATTGCAAATGGAAGTCTAGGTAATGCATAACAATTTGTATTATGCTTATTCTCTTGTTGGAGATAACCAACAGAACAACACAGAAGTCTATCGGCTGCGATTGTAAACAATTCAAGGAAATATTATTTATCAAGAAAACATAATATGTGCTCACAAATTCTTGAATAAAGGAACAGGTTTCATAACAAATTCCTTCTGCATGCCTATCAGAACTGCACATAAACCACACGGGCTTCATTTTATGAGTTTCCTTTATGTTGAGCCAAGCATACCTGGGCTTTTTGAATTTATACCTGTTGAGATGTTTTTACAAAGGCTTCAGGACACAGACTCTTTTTTGTTTTTCTTTTTCTTTTTAAAATATATTTTATTGGTCTTTTACAGAGAGGAAGGGAGAGGGATAGAGAGCTAGAAACATCGATAAGAGAAACATTGATCAGTCGCCTCCTGCACACCCCCGACTGGGGATGTGCCCAAAACCAATGTATGTGCCCTTGACCAGAATCAAACCCGGGACCCTTCAGTCTGCAGGCCGACGCTCTATCCACTGAGCCAAACTGGTTTCAGAAGGACACAGACTCTTGGACAAGAGTTAGCAGTAGGCAAAATGTTGTGTCCAATGTCATATATAAAAACTTACAATATCACAATGATATTACCTCTTTCCAAGCCTTGAAAAGAAAAACTATGTGGCTTTCATGGTGGTCAAAAGCTGATTTAGTATGGTGGGGGGGGGAAACATGTTATTAGGAAAAAATAATATGGGTAGGATTGAGAAAAGGAAAAACCTACACTACTGGATTTAGTTTAGACTCATTATAACTGAAAATAGCTCTTCTTTTGTGCTGGCCAGATGGCTCAGCTGGTTGGAGCCTCATCCCATACACCAGAAAGTTGTGGGTTCAATTCCTAGTTCCAGCACATACCTAGGTTATGGGTTTGATCCCTAGTTGGAACGCATATGAGAGGCAACTGATCAATGTTTTTCTCTAAAATCAGTGTTTCTCTTTCTCTCCATCCCATCCCCGCGCTTGCGCGCGCTCGCTCTCTCTCTCTCTCTCTCTCTCTCTCTCTCTCTCTCTCTCTAAATCAATAAAAATATATCCTTGGATGATAATTTAAAAAAGAAAAGAACTCTTCTCTTGGAGTACAAACTGGGTGGCTCAAAGAAGACTAGAAGAACAAGATCAAGGTGATGGTACACTCAGTTCCTTCCAAGGCCCTTGAGAGATAATTTGTTCTATTCCTCTCTCCTACCTTCTAATCTTTGGAGTTCCTTTACTTTTTTTCCCCCCACCACCATTTATCCCCTGTATGCTCTCTTCCACCTACACCCACCACTCTCACCCCCCACAATAGCCAATCACCTCATTGTTGTCCATGTCCATGAGTTCTTTTTCTTTTTTCCTCAATCCCTCCACTCCCACAATGCACCAGAGCTGTCTGTCTGCTCTCTACCTGTGAGTCTGTTTCTATTTTGCTTGGTAATTCAGTTTGTTCATTAAATTCCACATTTGAGTGAAATCATATGATACTTATCTTTCTCTAAGTGGCTTATTTCACTTAGCATAATGTTCTGTAGGTTCAACCCATGCTGTTGCAAAGATAAATTTTTACCACAGCATAGCATTACACTGTGTAAATGTACCACAGCTTTTTTATTCACTCATCTATTGATGAACTCTTGGGCTCCTTCCAAATCTTGGCTATTGTAAATAATGCTGCAGTGAACATAAGGGTACATACAATCTTTTGAATTAGTGTTTTGGGTCTCTTTGTTTTTTGTGGGGGTTTTTTTGGGGGGGAGCGGGGTTGTTTTGTTTTGTTTTGTTTTGTTTTGCAGTTTCTTGACTTTATTAACCTGGAGCTCTGCCATACCAGCCCCAGGGGCTGGTGCCCAGGCACAGTGAGCAGGATTGAGGTCAGAGAGGTTCAGCCCCTGGCAGCCTGGCACAGCTGGGCCAAGGGGTTAGAAGGTACAAAAGTCCAAATGCTGGCACTTCAGGTGTGGCTGGCATCCAGCCTGGTCCGGAGGGGAACACGACCTGCTGCAGTGGGCATACAGGGTGCCATGGTCCTCTCCTGGCAGAGGGTCTGCCATGTGGCAGGGCCAGGCCTGTGCAGGCAACGTTCCTTCCAAAGCAGCGGCTAGGAGCAGTTAGTGATTCTGGCCAGGAACTGCTGTGCCCACCACTCATCCAGGTCAATGGGCACGAAGTTTTGCAGTCTGGGGTTGGGGGTCCTCTCGATGAGTCTCTTTGGATAAATTCCCAGAAGTGGAAAAGTTGGGTCATAAGGCAGTTCCATTTTTAATTTTTTGAGGTAATTCCATACCGCCAAGTTGAGACATCTCCTGCCTCTAGGAGGAGTCAGACTCTTCCTCAAGTCAGAAAAATGGAAATCAGGAGGACATAAGTTCATAATTTCATTCATCTTTATTATTTCACTCAGCGGAGTATAATTACATACAGGGTTTCCATAATTTGTTATAATAAGAGTTATGCAGGATACAAAATTATTAATGTTGACAGTTCATGCTCTTATAAATGGGTCAGTCTTAAAGGTAAACTGATACTTAAAAAATAAAAAGAAAAAAGCAAGTGATATAAATCCTGTCCCCAAAGTATCTCTAAAGTGGTTAATATTGAAAACATCTGGCCCTATATCTACTGAAAGAGGATTCTATAGTTCTCACCTCATACAGCGCCTCCATCAGGCAGCTATCAATTTTAACTGCTCACCTGTGAGTAGAACATCACCATCTTGGAACCCAGTGGCAACCTGAAGTGCAGAGACTGCATGAGAATGAAGCTGGACAGCGGACACAGCACCTGCCTCAGACAGCCTGCCCCCGGACATGAGACACCATAAGCCCCTAATGTGTTTATACCATAATTATGTGAGTTCTCTGGTTATGACCTAATTCCTAACCCTCGAGATACAGAATGGAGAAAAGTGAAAAAAAAGTTTTCAATAACCTTTTCTAGAGGAAATCTAGAATTATACTTAGAAATCCAAAATTTTGCAAAGTTGTCTAATCTTGGCAATTTTAGTGATTTTTTTGTTCTAGTCTCTTTCGCTGTGATGATTTAGCAGTACAGTCATTTGAAACGTCACAGTCTTGTTCATGTCCTCAGGGACCACAAAGAAGGGGGGACTGGGTCACTTTGCATTCAGAGTAGAAATGGAGAGGGCACAACGGAACAGCCACCACTCCAGAAAAAGGACAGCTCAGGCCGGCAGGTGTGGCAGGCATGGGCGGCCCACAGGCGTCCAGACGCACCTCTCTGCCATGCCCAGGACTTCCCAGATGTGGCCTTGCTCTCATGTATCCGGGTGCCCTGATTCTTGTGTAACTATGTGTATTCTGGCTACAGGTTGGCCTTCGCCGGGGTCCTCACTCCAATCTACCTGCGAAGGTAAGGTAATTCCTGTGACTTGATTCTGACCCTTTTTCACTACATTATTTTTTCTTGCTTCTTTATAATCTACTACCTACCCCATCTTGAAAATTTAATTACCTCAAAGAGCCGAAGCATCACAAGTTGAGAGGCCTTGATTTCTCAAGCCCTTAAAAGTCATGAACCCGCCGAAACCGGTTTGGCTCAGTGGACAGTGTGTCGGCCTGCGGACTGAGGTCCCAGGTTCGATTCTGGTCAAGGGCATGTGCCTTGGTTGCGGGCACATCCCTGGTGAGGGGTGTGTAGGAGGCAGCTGGTCGATGTTTCTCTCTCTATCGGTGTTTCTAACTCTCTATCTCACTCAATTCCTCTCTGTGATAAATCAATGAAATATATATTATAAAAAAGTAAAAAATAAAAAAATAAAAGTCATGAACCCACTCCCCATCCACCAATCTTCCCATACCCCCCAACCTGAGTGCAGCTCTAACTTAAAGAGACCCCAGGCACTTCAGCCACCTATGGAAGCCAATTTTTTAATTTTGTCATTGCGTTTCCGAAAAATTTGCTTTCCTGGGCATCTTCGGTTATTTGGCTGATGTTCTCCCCTTCCACAGACCCTTTATAGTTACGAATCAGCTCATTGGCCATTTTCAAAAGGTCTGTTACCTGGTCTTCCATAGCTCGGCCGGTTTCTTTGTTATTAAAAGCACAAACTCGCCCCTTACACTTTTTAATGGTCTCCTTAAGAAATGTGTCGTCTGTATTTTTGCAGTAATCTTTAATGTCCTCGCCCCCCAAGTCTTCCTTCCGGGTGAAAAGCACAATCATGCGTTCCATAACATTACTTCCGAACGTGGACTTCAGTGCGCTCACCACGTCTCTGTCCTGGGCCGTGATCCGTCCGAGCTGGAGCACCAGGACTAGAACTCTGTTACTTTCATAGCTTCTGACCTCCTGTAAGTGGGTTAGCAGGTCAGGAGTGTCCACCACCTCCACCTCCTGCTCCGCCACTGTCCTCTTGCCCTCCTGGAACACCTTGGTGACCGGCTGGGGACTGAGCTTAGAGGTGAAGATGTTACGCCCGAGGATGGAGTTCCCGGTGGCACTCTTCCCAGTTCCGCTCCGCCCCAGGAGGACAATGCGCAGGGGCTCTGCCGGAGGAAAGCAGGAGAGAGAGTCATGACCCTGGGCTGACCTGGGTGCGCCTTTCAAAGCGATGCCACACATTGCAGCCCGGGACTCTCAGGGAGCATCAGGGCTGCTTTCCCAGAACAGCTCCAGCCCTGAGCACAGGAATGGCTTCCTCCAGGCACACAGTGAACTCCGAAGCAGGTCTTGGACCACAGTCCCTGCCCCGCACTCACCCACTGACATGCTACTGTCCTATCTCTCACTCTGCTCCTTTGTCCGGTAACTTCTCTGGCTCCCTGGCACCTGTGAGTGTTTTGTTACTCTTTGCCCACTCACCTAGGTCCAGTCTACTCATCTCATCTCTGTCTTCTGTTCCTGCTGTGACTCTGTCTTCCCAATGGCTACTAATGCTAACCGAAACAAAACCTCCTGGGTTTATTTGAAAAATTATTCCATAGAATTAGTTTTTGGAAAAAAGCAACTACATGTACCATCTGTGGATTACCAGAGGGAGCACTTCTCATTACAACCACCTTCAATTTAACTGTGTCCTTCATTGATATCCGAAGGCATCTCGTGATGCCTGGCCTGTGTTTTTCAGTGGTTAGAGCACTGGCCTGCACGACAAAGGGTCTCAGGTTCGATTCCCAGTCAAGGGCATGTACCTAGGTTGCAGGTCACATCCATGCCCCAGGTGGGGTACATGTGGGAGGCAATCAATCAGTGTGTCTCTCTCACATTGATATTTCTCTCCTCCTTCCCAACCTTCCACTCTCTCTAAAAATTAATGGAAAATATCCTTGGGTGAGGAGTAACAATAACAAAAAAAGGAACCTTATGGTTATGATAATGAGTGCCCAATAATACTGTTAGGTGGTCTCAGTGATGGAGAATAAATTTCCCAACCGATGGAATTACAGGAGTAATGCGATGTATATCACTGGGGGTTTCTTTATGACTTTGCACTTGTACCGTGATCTCTCTCTTCCATTCAGGTAGCTTCACACTTTTCTTCAATCATGACCTTTTCCCCAAATTACAAATATCCACCTCAAAACAAGGAGAAAGGAAAGCCCACCCCTTGCTCTCCCTACCAGGGGAACTTACTGAATTGCTTGTTCCAAAGCCACAATCTTATGCTTAAAAGATGAATAAAGTCTCCCGACAACCCCATATCTGTCACGTGTTTCCATCCTGCTTCCATACCCTCAAAGGCTGTGGTTCCCAATGGCCTCTGTAAACTCCCAATCCCACTTTACCTCTAGGTGTGACTCCTCAATACCCATCAACACCACTCCCTGATATTCCCTCATATGTGGCATGCATAGTCCTAACTCTTTGCTTCAAATTGCTAGTGTACTCTCTCCAGAATGTCTTCCAAGTTTCTGCTTAGCCGTCCAAACTCAACCCATTTTCCAAAGCCCATTTCAAATTGGGATCCCTCCACACAGCCTCTCCTGACATTCCCACATGTCTTTACTTCTTTTTTATATATATACTAGTAGCCCTGTGCACGAATCCATGTGAGAGTAGCTTGCTGCCTCTTGTCTCAGTTGGCCGCTCATAGCCCTCCACTCTCCTGCTATTGGTCTTTATGCGTCATGGTGTAATGACCATTTGTATATTGCATCTTTATTATATAGGATTTTTTTATTATTGACTTCAGAGAGAAAGGGAGAGGGAGAAAGAGATAGAAACATCAATGATGAGAGAGAATCATTGATCAGCTGCCTTCTGCATGTGCCCTACCATGGATTGAACCCACAACCCAGGCATTTGTCCTTGATCAGAATTGAACCTAGGACCCTTCAGTCCTCACACCGACACTCTATCCACTGAGCCAAACCAGCCAGGGCTGTACACCATGATAACTCTCTCTCTCACTTCTTCAGGAAGCTCCCCAACACCTGGCCTTCCATGAGGAACAAAAAACGGCTCAATGAACAGATATGCTCCTTTAGATCTGATGTTCTTCTCAGGTGAGCACATTTGAAGCACAAGAGAATGGGATGAGTCATGCTGGGATGGAAGGATCTCAGCTCAGGTCAATAGAATGCATAGCACTGAGTGGATGGGAACTTCTGTTTCAGCAGTAGATAGTGCTGTGTGGCTAGGCTAATAAATAAATCTCATCTATAGTCATGTGGGGCCCTCCCATCATGAGCATTCAGGCTCCCAGTTCTTGTTCCGTCAAAATGGCGCCCCCTGTCCAATAGAGAGAAGAGTAAAGAAGCAAGAGAGTAAACAAAGTCAAGAAAGGGTGTGAGAGAGTCTGGCTGGTGGGGCTCAGTGGTTGAGCATCAACCCATGAACCAGGAGGTCACAGTTCTATTTATGATCAAGGCACATGCCTGTATTGAAGGCTCAATCCCCAGTAAGGGGCATGCAGGAGGCAGTCAATTGATGACTCTCTCTCATCGTTGATGTTTCTCTCTCTCTCTCCCTTTCCCTTCCTCTCTCTGAAATTTTTTTTTTAAGAACTTCTTTTTTTTAAAGAAAGGGAGAGTATGTGTATGTGTTGAGTTTAAGACAAAGAAAGAGAAAGTATTAACCAATGGTCAAGAGCTATTTTATCACCAACCCTGAGTGCGGAGCCCTGGGTAAAAGAGGTTGGAAACTGTACCAAAAACAAGAAGCTGGAAAAGGTCAACTCCTTCCTTCATGGCCCTCACCGTCCAGTTGGAGAAATGAGGCCTGGCTCATGGAAGCATTAAAGACCAGGCCAGCACAGTATGCAAGGAAAGTCAACTAATTTTAGTTAAATAGAAGAAAGGAGAAAGAGAAGAGTTAGTCAGTAGAATGGACCTGTCCTTTTTATCTTCTCTATGCCCTTCAGAAAATAAAAAAGTTCCTCTATAGCCTATATCTGCTTTTTTTTTTTAAGCATATGTAAAATGTTTTCTTACCTTCCTTTTTGAAGTTGCAAGGCTTGTCTCCATTCTGTTGCACCATTTTCACAATTTTTTGCAGGAGCCCATCTACCTGCCTTTGTTCCTCTTTTCCTGTCACTCTGTAGTTGAAGGTGCTGATTTGGTTTTCAGAACTCTCGACAAGAGTACTGTGGAGGACTTTATTCCTGATTAAAAACATATCTACTTTCTGGTCCTCTAGATCTTCTTTCCTTGTGAGGAGCACAATCATATACTTAGCTAATTCGTCTTCAAAACTTTTTTGGATGGTCTTCAGATCCACTTCAGTTAAGGAGGTCAATGGGGTCACCAGCAGGAAGGCATGGGGGCCCTTAGGGGCATGTTTGCAAAGGTCTGATTTAAAGTCATTTAAAGATAATAAGTCTGGACTATCAATGATCAAAATTTTCCTCCCTCTCCAGATTCTGCTCTCAGACTTAAACTTCTTGGTTACTGATTCGTCACTGAATTCAGTCTCAAAGACTCGCTTCCCCAGAAGGCTGTTCCCCACTGTGCTTTTTCCAACGCCACGCTTCCCCACAAGCAGGACCATTAGTTCTGGCATCACAGGGGTCGGCTCAGATCCTGTGGCCAGCAGCTGCTCCCCTGGAGGACAAGAGGACAGATTCCAAGTCTTTTCTTAAAACACAGGGACAAGTTTTATCGCTTCTCTTCTTTGTCAGTTTTTATAGAAAATGGCATCAGTGCTCTGACCCTACAGAACTCTGGTCCTGGCCAGAAGCTACCCATCAAAGTAAGAGCCCTGAAAGGGGCCATGAACTATGTCAAGAGCTTGAGGTTGCCCAGGAACATGTAAAATGTTAAAGTTGGCTTTCACTGGTCTTGGTCCTTAGCATTCCTCTCATTTTGCTACCAAAAGTAAGTACTGGGGCATGAAGTCCATGGGCTAAGGCAGGACCAGGGAGAATCTGAGTTTAAAATAACCGTGAGTGGCCCTGGCCAGAGTAGCTCAGTTGGTTGGGTGGCATCCCATGCACCAGACGCAGGGGTCCTCAAACTTTTTAAAGTTGGGGCCAGATCACGGTCCCTCAGAGAGCTGGAGGGCCTGACTATATGAACTACTAATTCCTACTGTAACACCTCGGCTGCGCTCACTGCCCAAAAAACCTGGTGGGCCGGATCAGACTCCTCTGCGGGCCGCATGTGGCCCGCGGGCCGTAGTTTGAAGACCCCTGCACCAGAGGTTGCTCATTCAATTTCAGGTCAAGGGCACATGCCCAAATTGCAGGCTCAATCCCCAGTAGGGGGCATACTGGAGGCAGCCAATGGATGCATTGCTCTCACATTGATGTTGCTCTCTCTCCCCCTTCCTCGCCCTCTAAAAATCCATAAACTGTTCTTAATAATAATAATAATAATAATTAAATAACTCTGCCCTAATCGGTTTGGCTCAATGGATAGAGCATTGGCCTGTGGACTCAAGGGTCCCAGGTTTAATTCTGCTCAAGGGCATCTACCTTGGTTGCAGGCACATCTCCAGTAGGGAGTGTGCAGGAGGCAGCTGATCAATGTTTCTCTCTCATCGATGTTTCTAACTATCCCTCCCCCTTCCTCTCTGTAAAAAAAAAAATCAATAAAATAAATTAAAAATAATAATAACAAAATAATTTTGAGTGGTATATTCATAAAATTGAATACTGCTCAGCAATTAAAAAAGAAAAGAAATGAATGGACTGCTGATATGCAACATGACTAGATCTCCAAAACATGATAATTAAAAAAAGCCAAACACAAAATTACATGCAATATGAGTACATTATATAGAGTTCAAGAACAGACATGGTTAACTGATGTTGGTAAAAGTCTCTTAGGGGAGAGGCAGTGAGAACTTCTAAGGAGCTGGAAATGTGCTATATCTTTATCTAGTTGGTGGTCTCGTATGTGTAGATGTGTAAACGTCATTGAGTTGTATTGACTCTATGTAAATTATACCTCAATAAATTGCTGTAAAAACCTGAGCTATAAAACTCTGTCTCCACACATACCCTGTTCCCACCACTTCTCCTTGTGGCCTGCAGCTGCTCCCCTAGAGGACAAGAGGACAGATTCCAAGTTTCTTCTTATAGTGGGACACAAAGACAGGGACAAGTTTTATCGCTTCTCTTCCTTGTCAGTTTTTATAGAAAAGGTCAACACCACAACTACGTGCTGAGCAAATGGCAGAGTCAGCAACTACAGGGATAGTCACTGGGGCTGTGCTATCCAGGGCGCCATCCAGGTAGACTGTCACTCCATGACTGCATGACAAATCTGGGAGGGGAGTAAATGTGGCATTTAAAGAAAGCAGCTGAAATGCAGAGACTACATGTCCTTGGAAAGTTGCCTTCGGAATATTACTACTTTCCCCAAGAGCACCTCTCACTAGCCTACATCCTACAAAAAGTCCTTTCTTGCCTGCCTGTGTGGCTCAGTTGGTTGAGCATCGTCCATGCACCAAGAGGTCACTGGTTTGATTCCCAGTCAGGGCACATGCCTAGGTATCAGTTTCAATCCCCAGTAGGGGGCATGTATATACTAAGAGGATTGAATGATTAATATATATTACATGTAATTTTTCAGCACATGTCATCTACAATTATTATGATTATTAAAATTTTCATTTTAAATATTATTTTGGAAAATTTGGGGGGGATAGAGAGCTCATTTATTGTATTTAGTACTGAATATTCAGTTCTTTGTTCCTTCCTTTCTTTATGTGCGTTTGTGTGTGTTCTGTGTGTGTGTGTGTGTGTGTGTGTGTGTTGGGATTTTTGTTGTGCATATTCAGTTCTTTCACAGAGCTGGCCCAGAAAAAAATTGGAAAGTATATCCATGAAGAGATAGTTGAATTAGTTATATATGCCCGTCCTACAGACCAAATTGCATCTACTACACAGAATTCGGTAGCTCTGGATGTACTGGCCTGTGCAGAGTGTAGTATACATCACTAATGGCAATCAGTACAAGCATACTGAGCTGCATCACTGAATTCTGCAAGTTACTGTTATCTATGGAGGAGGGACTTCTGATTTCCTAGGAGGAGTCAAAAATTGAGTGGTGCTAGATCCAGGGCCAGGAAGGAGAGGCCAACTGGGTACAGCAGTCAAGCCCAGCGTTGTAACATGGCAGAGGTCAGGGACACCCACACCAGCCACAGGACCTTGGCTGGTGCTACACCTTCTCAAAGGGTTCAGAGTTCCCTAAGAACAGGTTGTACGCATTAACATGAGCTAGGTCTCCAGGGTACACTTTTGCTCTGACTTATCACTTTGATGCATAGCACACTCAAAGGAATGTCTATATGAGCTTCACATTCTTTGAAGGAATCACCTTACCGTGTGGAAAGTCCTCCTCCTCAGAGGTAGCTTCTTTCATACAGACCTAGAAAATAAAGAGGAGAAATGATGTACACAGACCTAAACTTTCTTCTTTTCACAAAGTAAACAAATGGAGACACAAGTGTATAATTCAGAATAACTGGATGATTAGGATGTGGTCAAATCAAGGCCATGGTCGTGGTCCTTCCTGGTCATTATAGACTTGTCCATAATGACAGTCAGTCTTGAGATCCTATGGCCGCTGCTGCCTCAACAGGTTTACCTGACGCAAGATGGGTCTCGCTCTCAAAGCAGAAAGCCATCTGCAAGGCATTGTTCCGGAAGCTCTAACTTCATTTCTCCACAGTTCCTAACAGTAATTCTTCCCAAAAGCTCCCAAGGTTTCTGCTATTCCTGGAGAGAATCCAGAGGCTTAAGGAGAACTTGTGGGCTCCCTCAAGAAAGAAATCAGCTCAGTAATGTCAGTGATGAGACAAGGCAGAGTGAGGACATTGGGAACCAGGCTCCCAATCTGGTCATGGGATTATAAAAAAGTTGAAAACACCCTAGCCAGTGAGCTCAGTGGTTAGAGTATTGGCCCATGCACTGAAGGGTCAAGGTTCACTTCCCAGTCAAGGACACATACCTGGGTTGCAGGTTCGCAATCCCTAGTCCAATTGGGGTGTGTGCAGGAGGCAGTGAATCGCTGTCTCTCTCACATCGATGTTCTCTTTCTCTCTCTTCCCCACCCCGCCCTTCCTCTCTCTAAAAATCAATGAAGAAAGTATTCTCGGGTGAGGATTAACAACAATAAAAAAAAAAAGAAGGTAAAAACAATGACATACAATCTTGATGAATCTGCTATCCCTAGAAGTTTCCTGTACTTTATTTCAACCTTGTCTTTGTTAAGTCTCCATGCTAGCCAAGTTTCCTGCTTTCTCACCTGACCTTACCCAAAACCCTTGATGCCATCAATCATCTCTCTCTGGGGTCCTCTCATTCCTCTCTGGTTATCAGACTTTTTCCACTTTCCACAGCCCAGCTCAAATTATTTCATGTTTGTTTGTTTTAAACCAAAGGTATGATCTACAACTTAATAATTTTTTCCATCTTCAATCCACCAAAAAATAAGTTGTTAACTTGTATATCCTTCTATGTTGTCCTAACTTTCCAGTGTTTCCCAAACTTTTGACGTATGTGTATCCCTTCTATAATTTTCGTAACGCTGAGTACCGCTTGTACTCATGAGAACATAGAATTAGGTGCAGCTAAGCACGGTGCAGTGCATATCCCCACCAAACTCCCGTGCAACGTGTACCCCCACCAAACTCTTCCCGTACCCCTGGGGGTACGCGTACCACACTTTGGGAAATACTGCATTTATACAAATACATACAAGCATATATGAACACATAGAGAGACTTATTAGGCTCTTTTATTCTGCAATCAGCTTAATAATTAACATGTCTGCACATCTACACAAGTAGATGCAATTCGCTCCATATGCAACCATTTAAACTAATGCAATCCTTCCTTTATTGGTAGACCTACAGGCTATTTCTGGTTTTACTATTCCATAATATTCAGTGATAAAGGTTCTTGTCCATACACCTTTATGTATTTTTATGTCTTGGTGCTAGAGTCCTAAAAGTGGAAATCTTCGCTCCATCTCTGGATTAATAAATCCTTTTTTTTAAATATTTTTTTATTTTAGAAAGAGGAAGGAAGAGGGATAGAGAGATAGAAACATCGATGACAAAGAAACATCGATTGGCTGCCTCCTGCACACCCCCTACTAGGGATTAAGCCCGCAACTCAAGCAAATGCCCTGACGGGGAATCGAACCAGTTACCTCCTGGTTCATGTGTCGACATTCAACCACAGAGCAACACCAGCTGGGCTGGATTATTAAATCCTTAATGTCTCCATAATTTATTTGGACCTCATACACTTCTATAATAATTATAACAATCAGAATAATAGCAGCTTATAATTATTGAACATTTATCCAGTTTCAAGTATTTGCAAATTATTTTGTAAGCATTTCATTTACTCCTCAACACAGTCCCTGAAATACATATAATTCAGAATTCTTGAGCCTCAGGGTCCTCATCTGTAGAATATCTGTGCATAAAGTTGCAGTGAAGACGAAATCGGTTCATGTATGTGTTTGGAATTTAGTAGTTTCTCAGTAAGTGCTGGCTTCTCTCACATGGCCATCAGCTCGAAAAAGATCCCCCATGCTGAATTTTTGTTTGCTTTACCTTCTTCAGCACCTATCTTGCCTAATAATAGACAAATATGTAACATGACCATACCTTCCTTATGCCCATAGCCAATCAGAATGAGTATGCAAATTAACCCCCACAAAAAAAAAAAAGATGGCAGTTAATTTGCATACATAAGCACCCAATGCCTGTGTCCCAGGAACATCCTGGCACCCAGGTCACTGTGAGTTAAGGCCTCCTGGGCCCAGAGCAGCCTGGGCAGGGCCTGAGCCAGGGGGCTCTTGGACAGGGCCAAACCTGCAATCAGAACGAGGGGGCAGGAACAGAGTCTGTTATTGCAGGAAGCTGAGTGTCCACTCCTGTCCAGGAGCAGAGCCTGCGGTCACAGGGAGCCTGGGGTCCCTTGCTCAAGGCTCAAAGCCTAAGCTAGAGAGTGGAGCAGGGGTAGGCGGGGTGGAGCCTGCAATCAGAGGGAACTGGAGGGCCCCTGCCCAGACCTAAAGCTTTGGCCAGAGGCTTTAGGCCTGTGCAGGGCCCAGCCCACAATTGGTGTGAACTATAGAGGAAACACCTTTTCTGACTGCACATTGTCTAAGCTTCCTGTGTGTCACTAGAAATATTCTTAATAACTTGGGTAATAAGAATCTGAAAAAGTGATCTAGAGTTTTTCCACCACACTCTGAAGAAAAAAAAAAAATGAAGGTCTGCTGCTGGAGGGCTAAGAAATGTCATATCCTGTCCTAGCTGGTTTGACTCAGTGGATAATGCCTCAGCCTGCAGACAGCAGGGTCTGGGTTCGATTCTGATCAAGGGCATGTACTTAGGTTGCAGGCTTCTCCCTGGCAGGGGCCCAGATCAGAGATCATGCAGGAGGCAACCAATCAAAGTGTCCCTCTCACTTTGATGTTGTTCTCTGTCTTTCCCTTTCTCTTACACATTTTCCAAAAGTCAATGGAAACATATCCTCAGGTGAGGATAAAATATATGAGGATAATGGTGAGGATAATGCATATCCTATGAAAGACACATCTTGAACATGCGTAAAGAAAGTTTTCATTTTTTCTTGGTGAAGGGACTGGAGTCCGTGTTGATGAAAACACCATGGTGGCTGCAGTGGCTGGCAGTGGCTGCAGTAGCAGGGTGCTGGGGCTGGTGCCTTCCCCTGTTCAGCCCGTTTGCCTCCCACAAACGGAGGCCAGCCATCAGTAGGACATCCCCTGAGGGCTCCCAGTATGTGAGAGGGGGCAGGTTGCGCTGAGGGACACCCCACACACACACACACACACACCCAGTGCACGAATTTCACCCACCAGGCCCCTAGTATTTATAGAATTCCCTATACTAACATAAGCTTAGTTATACTGAGTCAATGATTACTTTGTTTCTTATGCATAAGTCACTCCAGTTGTAGCGTAAGCTCCTCAGTGGCAAAAGCTTGCATTCCTTACTTCTGAATACATTCTTCATTCAAGTTAAAAAAAAAAAAAAAGTAAATAAAATGTCAATCTGGCTGTTGTGTGGGGATATAAAATGGGTGGGGATATAAGGCCCAAGAATGAACAAGGGAAAGTTGTTAGGAGATTATTTGTAAAATACTCCAGGCAAGAGAAGAGGCTGTCTTGTACCCGATGGTGGTTGCGGAGGTGGAGAGAAGCAGGTGGGTGCCAGGCATGAGCACGGACTTGAGAATTTCTTGGGCAGCAGATGCCAGCTGTGCTATAAAAGCCAACTCCAGGGTTTGGGTTTGAAGAGCGTAGTAGGCAGCACAACCATTTACCAAGTTGAGAAGAAAACAGAAATCATACAGATTTAAGGGGGGAACTGAGAGTTTGGACATGTTCAGTCTGGGGTCCTTTATGAGAGTGCAGAGGAGATGTCAAGTAGCAACTGGATAAAAGGGGCAGAACTCAGAGGAGACCTGGGCAAGGGCTGCTAATTTTGAAACTGTTGGAAATAAATGGAGCTCAAAGTTGTAAAATGTGGGGTCACCCAAGGGAGAGTGTAGAGAATTGGGGACAGGCTAGAACCAAGCCCTGTAGATGCCAACTTTTAGAGTTCGTGCGAGGAGGACTCAGCAATCCCCCGAGTGGCCAGAAAGGATGGGATGAGGTGGGTGGGGAGAGAAAGAAGAAGATGGTTTTATTGAAGCCAAGGGGGTCTAATGAGTCATTGGTGTCCAAGACTATGAAAGGTAAAGTCAGGCAAGGACTTAACTGTATCCATGAATTCACCAATAAAGTCCAAAGTTTAATATCCAAAGTAACCTACCTTCTGGTGCCTCATCTTTCCAGATTATGAATAGACCAGTGGCCCCTTGCAGGAAGATTTCTGCAATAGAGCTTCCTGCTGCAGTCACCACCCCACCTGCTTTCCTCCCTTTACCCAAGGCCCCACCTGCTTGCCTTCCTTCTCCCCTGCTCTGCTTGCTTGCTTCTGCAGCACTTGGCTTCTTTCTAAGCCATCTGCAGTCTTCGCTCTGTCCTGGATATGCAATTTAACTGCCATCTTGGTTGTGTTCATTTGCATACATGCCCTGATTGGTTGGCGGGCGTGGCTTGTGGGCATAGCGAAGGCACAGTCAATTTGAGTGTTTCTCTTTTATTACCTAGGATATCTCCTTAAACAAGGCCTAGGAACCTTTTCACATGTCTCTGCCCATCTTCATCCCACTCTCTCTAACAACCCAGAGATCCTTGGAGACAGGAATGAGAATTCTCACCTGGGATCCATTGCCTTCATTGTTGAACTTCACAGGATAGGGTTCTCCATTCTTATCCACCAAACACTTGACCATGGGGAGGAGCTCTCCCACCTGGCTGTCCCGCTCAGCCTCACTTGCCTTGTTGTTGAAAGCGCAGTAGCGTCTTCCACAGTTTTCAACCAACTTTCCAAGCGATGTGTCGTTTTGAAGGTAATCTTCCATGGAGCCATCATCCAACTCATCCTTCCGAGTGAAGATGATAATGATGTACCTCCAGACTCCCTCTCCAAACACCTGCTGGATGCCCTCGATTGTCTCTCTGTCGTCCTCGTTATACTTGCCGATGGGAATCACCAGAAGCAGGACATGCAGGCTGGGGGCAAAAAGCTCCCAGCAGTGTTCAATGGCTCCTTGCTTGTTGTTGACACAAGCTGTTGAGGAGAAAAGGTTGGGGGTGTCGATGACCACAACTTCCTCCCCTCTCACGGTCCCACTCTCTCTCTGGCACGTTTCAGTCACCGGCTTCCCACTGAATCTGGACAGGAACACCTCTTTGCCCAGAATGGTGTTTCCCGTGGCACTTTTTCCTGCCCCATGCTTCCCCAAGAGGAGAAGCCTCAGGGGCCCCCGGGAGCAGCCCTGCACCGCAGCATCCTCCTGGCACCGGCTCCCGCTGGTCCTGTTGGAACAAAGAGCAACACATCAAGGTCCAGCTCACATGCAGAGTAAACAGAGGAACAGCAAGAAAATGTGTTCTTGCCAAAACCGGTTTGGCTCAGTGGTAGAGCGTTGGTCTGACGATTAAAGGGTCCCAGGTTCGATTCCGGTCAAGGGCATGTACTGGGTTGCGGGCACATTCCCAGTAGGGGGTGTGCAAGAGGTGGCTGGTCGATGTTTCTCTCTCATTGACGTTTTTAACTCTCTATCCCTCTCTCTTCCTCTCTGTAGAAAAATCAATAAAATATGTTTTTTTAAAAAGAATAGACAGGAGAGTCAGAGTGAAAAAAGATGTGAAAACAGAAATGGGGAGGATCAGAGAGTGAGATTTGCTAATTTGAAAATGCTACCCTGCTGGCTTTGATGACAGAGGCCAACTCTCCAAGCTGGGAAAGGCCAGGAAACAGATTCTCCCATGGAGGCCCCAGAAGGATCACAGTCCTGCTCAGTGCCTTGATGTTAAGACGTCCAGCCCCCAGAACTCTGAAATAATAAATCTGTGGGGGGCTTTAGTCACAATGTGTTATAGCAGCAATAAGACACTAATATACTCAGTCTCTCAGCCAACCTTCCAAATAGGGGTGTCCATGTGACCCAGATCGAGTTGGTGACAGTTGAGGGAACATTTGCTTGGGCCTTCTGAAAATGCCATGTTCTTTATTACTATTATTATTATTAATTATTATTATTTTGGATTTGAGAGAAAGAAACATTGATTTGTTGTTCCACTTATTTATGTATTTATTGGTTGCTTCTTGTATGTATCCTGACAGGAGATCAAACCCACAACCTTGGTGTACAGAGACTATGCTCTAACCATCAGAGAAACCCAGCCAGGGCTGAAAACGCTATTGTTTTCTTGATGACAGGGGCATTCTCCAGCAGAGGGCTCCTATTATCACTCTCCCCCTTCTTTCGGCATGGAACTCAAATGTGATGTCTGGGACTGCAGCTGCCATCCTGGGGCAACGAGGTACAAATAAGAAAACAAAAGTCAACATGCACCATTCAAGCCAAAGGACAGAGGAGCAGAAAGATAAAGGGTCCCTGATGACGTCCCTAAGCTGCCAGATCTCCTTCAAACCACCTCTTTGTTAAATAAACACTTAATACTCTTACAATTTAAGCTGTTGCTACTCCAAGTATGATTCCCAGATTGCAAACAACTAGATTCGCATAAGAAATACAAACTTTTGGGCCCCACCCCAGACCTGCTAAATCAGAATCTGTAGTTCAACAATTTCCAGGTGGTTTCCATGAAATGCAAGTCTGAGAAGCACCATTAGTTGAAATTGTGCATTCTTAACGGAGTCGGAATCTGCAGGAAGAGCCAAGTTTCGCAGCATCAGGTAACAGGTGCCCATATGTCCAGGTTCTCTGCTATGTCCATTGAACTCTCAGTCTATTCCTGAGCCACAATGTCTTCATTACTAAAACCAATATGACTTAATCAGTGTAACTTTCAAACAGGCCTCAGTGACCTGATGGAGCAATCCCAACACCTTGCTATAGCTCAGAATTATCTCACTGTTTCTTGGCTTTTTAAATCTTCAGAGGGCTTTTAAAATCAGTAGTCATTTTCTTTTGGAATTCCTAGTGGAGTTTTTGAATGCCATTGGTTCAATTTGTGGCTTAGTTCGAAAAGAGCTGACATCTTCAGAGTGTTGTTCCCTTCATTCTTCTTGTTGATCGGTTTTAAATATGCTCTAATTTCAAATCAACTATGATTTCTTTTTGGTCCATAATTAAGAGAAGTGATTATTAAATTTAAAAATATATTGGGCCTGAGACCGGTTTGGCTCAATGGATGGAGCGTCGGCTTGGGGACTGAAGGTTCCGGGTTTGATTCCTGTGAAGGGCATGTACCTTGGTTGCAGGCATATCCCCAGTAGGGGGTGTGCAAGAGGCAGCTGATTGATGACTCTTTCTCATCGATGCTTCTAACTCTCTGTCTCTCTTCCTTCCTTTCTGTACAAAATCAATAAAATATATTTTTTAAACATAAAATAAAATTATATATATATATATATATATATATATATATATATATATATGGAGAGTAGCTATCTTTTTTTATTTATTTCTAATGCTAGCGGACTGAGTTCAGAGAACATCTGCATAAAATATTTGTCATTGGCTGAGATTTACTTTTTGGCCCAATAAAATTTTTGTAAATGTTTTGTGTGGACTGGAAAAGAGCAAGTAGCGTGTAACTGTGGGTGCTTTTCACAGTCAGGGACCCCGCCTGCATCTGCAACCTCAGTCCAGGTCCCCAAAATGCCCAGCATGTCCTTCCCTGCACCCCTCTCCTCTGGTCCTCCTGGAAGATTCCTTCCCATTCTTCACCACTCCACTTTGTGGGGAGCAGCTACAGTGTCTGGATAGGTCCAAGCCTGATGAGAAGGCACAGTCCTCTCATTGCCACGGGCAAGGCCCAGCTTGGAGGGCAGGGCCTCCCAGCACAATGACAGCCATCAGCTATCGTTGTAAACTTGAACCTATGGTCGGAACACGTGGCCCCTCGTGCCTGAGTGATGTGGGATTGATAGAGTTCAGGAGCATGTAGTTGAGTAGGGCTGAAACCCACGAGAATGTTGTAAACATCTTGATCACGCCTTGTGGCATCTGCTATAAAATAAAGATATGGCTTGTGGGCGTGGTCACTATCTCTCAGAGAAGCAGAGTCCCACAGAGACCCAGCTTTCATTCTCTTGTCTTGTTTAAGCCTTTCAGCTGCCCCCACTCAGGTTCACCCTTGGCCTTTCCTCATTTTTCCAGATTAAACTGGTCATCCGCTCTTTTCTGGACTTCGGCAATAACATTACCTCTGGTCTCTCAGCTTCCAACCTTCTCCCAGAGTCTAAAACAGCAGTTCTCAGCCTGTGGGTCGCGACCCCTTTGGGGCTCGAACAACCCTTTCCCGGGGGTCGCCTAAGACATCCTGCATATCAGATATTTACATGACGATTCATAACAGTAGCAAAACTACAGTTAGGAAGCAGCCACGAAAATAATTTTATGGTTGGGGTCACCACAACATGAGGAGCTATATTAAAGGGTCGCGGCATTGGGAAGGTTGAGAACCACTGGCCTAAAGCAAGACAGATATCCCTTATCAGTCCAAAGTCCACCAAGGGCTTCCCACCCGCACAAAGTAATAGGCGAAGGCTTTATAGTGGTCCAAGACCCCACCCAATTCCGGCCCTGGCTGCCTCCCGGACCTCAGCCCCGCCCTTCTCCACCTGTCTTTGTCACATCAACCTTCCTGCTGGTCCCAAACATGGGACTTCGGGGGGTTTTGCTGGCTGCTCATCTGAGCAAGTCCCTGGACTTGTGTAAGGCAGGTTCACTTCCAATAGGTCTCTCCTGCGTCGTCCCTGTGGCACGGAAGGCCTCCAGTCACCCTATATCTAAGACTTCCCCCTCCCCTTTTCTCTGACTCTCCATATCCCCCCCCACCCCAGCCCCTGCTCTCCCAGTCCCTGGCACCTTGCTCTATTTTTCGGCCCAGCACCCACTGCTACTATCTTTCACACTGTGTGTTTACTTGCTTATCGCTTTCCTTTTTATCTCCCCACCACTAAAAGGCAAGTTCCACCAGAATGGAGACTTACCCTGATCTGTTCACCCCGGTATCTACAAACAACATAGAGAAAGCCTTTGATAAATACTTGCTTATGGCCAAGAAGATGGTTTTTGCCTTGAAGAACAAAGAAATGAAGCTGAAGAAAGTGAAGAAGGAGAAAAGCCCTTGTTATTTAACAGTTCATACCTTTTAAGAGAACCGTGTCTTATAAAATATTTGATTGTCAAACCACTATGCTGTACACCTGAAACCAATACAGAATAATATTGAACAGCCTGGCTGGAGTGGCTCAGTTCATTGAAGATCATCCTGTGCACTGATGCCAGGTCAACTCTGTCAGAGCCCATGCCCAGGTTTTGGGTTCAATCTCTGAGTGGGGCACGTACAGAAGGCAATCAATAGATGTTTCTATCTCTCTCCCTTCCTCTCTCTAAGCATGTTCTCTGTTAAGGATTTCAAAATATGTAAAATAACAAAACAACAAGAAAGCCCACTGCATTGGAGGACATATTTGTCAATGCTATTTCAGGTAAGAGTTTGATCTAGAAAAGTTACAGAGAGCTCATACAACTTAACAAAAGGGAGATAAACAATTCAATCAAAAAATGGGCAAAGGACCTAGACACTTTTCAAAAGAGGGCACACAGAAGGCCACGAGACATATGAAAACATGCCCAGCCGAAACCGGTTTGGCTCAGTAGATAGAGTGTCAGCCTGGGGACTGAAGGGTCCCGAGTTCGATTCTGGTCAAGGGCATGTACCTTGGTTGCAGGCACATCCCCCGTAGGGGGTGTGCAGGAGGCAACTAATCGATGATTCTCTCTCATCAATGTTTCTGACTCTCTATCACTCTCTCTTCCTCTCTGTGAAAAATCAATAAAATATATATATTTTTAAAAAAGAGAGAGAGAGAGAAAAGAAAACATGCTCAAAGTCACTAATCATCTGAGAGATGCAAATCAAAACAACGAGATACCATCTCAGGCCTGTCAGAATGGCTATCATCAACAAATCAATAAACAAGTGCTGGCAAGGATGCTGAGAAAAAGGAACCCTCATGCACTGCTGGTGGGAATGCAGTCTGGTGCAGCCACTGTGGAGGAGAGTATGGAGTTTCCTCAAAAAACTAAAAATGAAACTTCTATTTGACCCAGTGATTCCACTTCTAGGAATATATCCCAAGAAACTAGAAACACGAATCAGAAAGGATGTATGCTCCCCTATGTTCATAGCAGCACAATTTACCATAGCTAAGATTTGGAAACAGCCTACGTGCCTATCAGCAGGTGAGTGGATTAGAAAACTGTGGTACATCTACACCATGGAATACTATGCTGATTTTCTATTGTTGAAATTTCCTGCCTAAAGGATGTGGGTGTATCTCAGAACCTCAATAAAAGCGATGGCAAAAGGCTAGAGCAGTGGGTAGTCCTCCCCCTAGAGGTGTACTCCCGCCTGCCCCCTCCCCCCATTTTCCCAAATTAACTCTTTTCCAGACTCTTTTCATTTGTGTGCGTCCTTCTCCAGAACACGGAACCCTGAAGAAGAACCCTGAACCACGCGGGATGTGGAAAGGGACCCCACAAATGGCGTTAAATGAGTGACCATGAGTGGCATGTGAAGAAAGAAAAACAGTTTTTACAAGTACAGGGGGAGCCTCTGCCCCACCCCACGCCCCGGGCTGGGGAGACCAGGCCTGACTAAGGAGGAACCCTCCCAGAGACCCTGAGGTCGCACCCTCCCGTGGCTCTGCCCGCTCTGGGCTGGCGTCCTGGTGGTGCAGGCCCCTCCCTAACCACATACCTTGTTCCTGTGCCCCGGCCGGCCTGGGCCTCAGAGCCTCCACAGCGGGCCTGCTCCATGGCGTGGCAGGTGCAGCAGCTGCTCGTTCCTCTCAGGCAAACAGAATCCTACAGAGGCTGGTGTGAGAAAACAGGAAAGCAGGGCGGGACCAGCTCTGCAAGGTCTTTCTGATAAACATCCTTTCCCAGCAGAGAGAGGTTTCTAGAAGTGGGTTGTGGCTTTCGGTTTTGCAGCCTCAGCAGCACAGAAGTTCACTGCAAAGTCACAGTCAGGGTCAGGCACACGGGACAGGGGCAGGCAGGTGAGGGGGGTGCAGGCCCAGGAGGAGCTGCAGAGGGCCTCTAGAGAGGCCTCATCAGGCTCGGGGCAAAGCAGGTGCTGTGGGCGGCTTCCTGCCACTGAGGTCGGAAACAGGGGACCTTTAGTGGCTTCGATGAAGACACTGTTCCCACCACCAGCCCCCCAACCTCTGTGCACCCTGAAGCAGCCTGTCCAGCGCCGGTAACAATCCCTCACCCCTCTTCAGGGAAGGTGTTCCTGAATCCCTGGCCGGGGCAGCTCAGGCCTCAGACGAATGCTGCTTCCCAGGCGAAGCATTCCTTCCCGGGCCCGACCGTCCATGCTTTGTCCAAGACCATGGTGTCCCAACGCTTCCTGGGACAGAAAGAATTTGTACGTGGAGCAAGACTTTTTCAAGTTTTATGTCACTGTGGAAAAAAAAAAAAAAAAAAGTAGCCAACACATTAGGTAAATGGACTGTGTCAGCTATTTTTAGGTGCACAGTTCAGCCATGTGGGGCACGCTCACGTGGTTGTGCAAAGAGCTGGGAGCCTGTTCTTGCAACCCTGGGACGCCATGCGACTCCCCTTCCCTCCCCCAGCCCTGCAACCTCCTTCCTCTTTCTGTTCCTTAGTGGCTTCACCCTGGAGGAACCAGGCAGTGTTTGTCCATTCAAGACTGGCTTTTTTGCTTTGTGTCACGTCCTTGGGGTTCATCCAAGAGAGCAGACTTGTCATTTTGTGAACTTGAGCTCACCAAAGCTTGCACTGCCAGAAGTGGCAGCAGCAGAGGGCTGCACCTCCTGTTAGTAAATCTTCTGATCTTATAATGAATCAAGTTGATGCCTGAGGGTGGAGCCTTCCAGGACCTAAATAGGATGCATGTTGAAATCACTCCAGACTTTTTGTAACTAATGTCCCTGGAGAGGCTAGTGCTCCAGCTCCACAGAAGATGCCAGACCAAGGAGCAGCCGCTCAGAGAGCAGGTCCAAAGCCACATGGCTGACAGGAATGAACAGTTGGGTGATCCCTGCAGGCCACTGCCCCCACCAGTGCACGAATCCTGTGCACCGGGCCTCTAGTCCTAGCATATAAAGAGGGAATATGCTAATTGACCATCATGCCCTCACAAAAATGGCGGCATCCACAGCCAATAAGGAGGGAATATGCTAATTGTTGTCATGCCCTCAAAGATGGTGGTGCCCTCAGCCACAAGATGGCAGCACCCAGTCCTCTCAGCTCTACCGGAGGTGCAAGCAGGTCCGGCCACTCTGTATGCCTGCCTCTAGAGTCCCCCAGTCCCTTCAGCCCCCAGCCACCCAGGGCTGGCCCAAGTCACAGGTAACCAGGGCCGTCCCCAGGGAGTCACCTTCTCCTGGGGAGGTCTTGTGAGGAAGCTGAAGGGAAGCTGTCCCTGCCATCCAGGGTTTGGGGCTAGGGGCTACCTCTTGATGGGACCATTCCCCACCCCACTGACCCCCCTTAGTAAGAAGGACTGGGTCCTGGAAGGCTCCACCTTCAGGCATCAACTCGATTCATTATAAGATCAGACCATGCCTGTAAATATTTCTATTTTCCGCGTCCAGGAGGTGGTGGTGGGTTTTCCAACTCTTGCTCCATGCCTTCTCTCTCATCCTGTGGGTGGCTCAGCCAGCATCACCCAGTTCTCAGCTTCTTCCCTTGTAGAATGTTTTAGGTTTCTATGAAAAAACTTTTATTCCTGGCATTTTGGCTAATTCTCTTTGGAACGTTACTCTGTGTTTCTTTTTATTTCCTCTAGAAACCCAGGAAAAAAAGAAAGGGGGGAAAAAAATTGCATTTTTTTTGCCTCCCATTTTCTCTTGTCCCCTATAATTGCCATCAATTTTCATTCTGTCCCTAAAGGGACAGTTTACTTTCACACGTCTGCTTTTTTTACTCACTTCCATAGGGCACTCCAAAAAGCCTCATTGTTCTATTGACTCACTCAACAAATATTTACTGGCGATTTACATGGTTCCTGCTGGTACATTCTAATATAAAGGTGACAGGCAGGCCTCAGGGCACCGGAGAAACAGCCCTCTACAAATTCACTTGATGACAGTTCTCCAAGTGTGCACTAGAGGGTGCCACTCTCCCATTGGCATTTGTTACAAAAAGTCTGGAGTAAATGCAGCCTATTTAGGTTCTTTCTTTTATTTTATTTATTTATTATTATTATTATTATTATTATTATTTCTTTATTGATTATGGTGTCACACAATTGTCTTCATCCCCCCATTCCCATTCCAAACCCCTCCCCACATATGCCCACCCCCTGTTGTCCAGGACCACTGGTTAGGCTTATATGCATGCACACAAATCCTTTGGTTGATCTCTCCCCTTTGCCCCCACCCTCCCCTACCTTCCCTCCGAGGTTTGACAGTCTGATCGCTGCTTCTCTGTCTCCAGGTCTGTTTCTGTTCATCAGTTTATGTGGCTCATTATTTCCCCTAGATGCGTTAGATCCTGTGATACAAGGAATTCCCTTATAAGGACAGGAACTGAGACAAGCCATAATGGTTATGCTGAGTGGCAAATGAATCAGTCTGTAGTGAGTTCCTTTCTGGGCCAACAGAGGTGTGAAAGGGGAGGGCATGTGAATTCACTCCTGGGGGCATTTTATTGAGCTGCCCCTGGGGCAATAATGGCCATAGGAGGCTTCAGGTCCCATCCCTACTAGGGCAGTGGGACAGGAGGGACTCCCCCCCCCCCCCGTCCTTCTGTCCCAGGCTTTTCAAGACTGCCCAAAGGGTCATCCAGGCTGGATATTTCCGCAGGCCACTGATGCCACAAGGGGCTGACCGAGTGGAATAAATGTTCTGTTGGCATCAGCTGGTGTGAGGAGTGGGCCTTGGAGGCTCAGCTGGGAGCAGGGCGGTGACCTCCAGCTACCTCCATCGTTTCTCCAGTCATGTTCAAGGAAACACGGTGTGTGTCCAAGGGCTGTAGGAAGCATAACTCAAAAGGCGTAGCAATGAATTTGCAGAGCCGCCCCATCTACTGCGGACCACGGCTGCTGCTTGGAGCTGGGGATGGGGATGGGAGCCCCTGGAAGCAGCCCCAGCTGCTCACGCAGCCCACAGTGAGGCCGGACCTGCCGAGCTCCTTCAGGTGGTTCCCGTGGGTCCTGAGAGGTGGCCGCCGAGAGCGCTGGAGTCAGAGACTCTGCCTCTAGGGAGCCTGGCCCGCGCAGGGTCTCCGAGGACCGCGTGTGCAGAGCATCTTGCACATGGAAGAGATGGTGACTGGAGTCTTCTTTTGGAGGGTCTGTGAGCTGCTGGCCCACGCAGGCTCTCAGGGAAGTGCACGAAGCGCCTCGTGGCGCCCCTCCCCAGTGGCACCGAGGCCCCTGTTGTCTGGAGACAAGACACAGAACCCAGTTCGGGGCCAAGGCTGGGGTCTAGTCTGGCAGCGTGGGCTTGACCGAGGCCCTGAGCATTTGACCCCCGTTTTCCCATCGTGAGGTAAGCGGCGTAGACGGGCTGTGCTCTGCGGTTTCTCTCACGTGTGGATTTCTGCAGACCCGACTACCTGGGTGGTCTCTCTCGGGCGGTGACCAGCAGGGACCAGGTAGGCCCGTGATGGGCCATGCCCAAGGCATCGTGAGATGTCAGCCAGCCCCTGGTGCCACGGGGTCCCCCTGGACAGCACCCCCTCCTCTGCTCCCCACGCTGGTCCTGTCACCAGCCTTCCTCCTTCGGACAGCTGCGAGCACCCCTGCTCTGGAGCAGAGGCTCCGGGCCCGGAGCCGGATATTTTCCCTTGAAGCCGGAGTGTGCAGTTTCCAGCTGCAGAAGCAGAGCCGCGTGGAGCAGACCTTCCTTGTTTCTGGAAGGTCATCGCACCCTGGCTGCCAAACCCGGTACAACAGACACCCGGCAGCATTCTGCATATTCTCCAATGAGGGCGCCGGTCCGCAAACTGCGGCTCGCGAGCCACCTGCGACTCTTTGGCCCCTTGAGTTTTTAGCAAAGGCCAGCTTCGGAGTACCCTAATGAAGTTAATAACAATGTGCCTACCTATGTAGTTTAAGTTTAAAAAACTTGGCTCTCAAAAGAAATGTCAATCGTTGTACTGTTGATATTTGGCTCTGTTGACTAATGAATTTGCAGACCGCTTAACTAGGGGATCTGGACGCATTTCACACGCAGATGCTTCAGACCAGCACGCTAGCTGTTGTGAAGAATGATAATCATTTTTAAAGGTCCCCGCAGCGCAGCCCCGGGAGGCGGGGAGGTCCGGAGGCGGGGAGGTCCGACGCCCCAATAACTGGCTGCAGACTAAGGGGGGGGGGGGCTGTGAGCCCTGCGCCAGCCACGCGGGAGAGGAGCTAGGCTGGCGCTGCTTCTGGGCAGATCACCCCAAGCCCCCGGGCCCTCCTGCCCCAGATATTTCCATTTCAGGATTCCTGATCATCCCCCCTCCCCACCCCACCCCCCATTTAGCAGTTAGCGCCTCCTCCCAAGGCAAGGCTACCCTAGCCAGACCCACAAACCCGCCCAGAAGCTGGGAAAAGGGACCGGGGAGCAAATGTTTCCCTTTTGCAGGAGAGAGAAGGGGGTGGGGGTGAATGCAGCCCTTGGCGGAGCCTGGGGGGGGGGGGGGGGGGGAGCTGGGGGGGAGTCAGCAGAGGGAGGCGCAGTGGACAGCTCTGCCAGAGCCTGCCCTCCTGCGTGTCCGGATTATGTCCGGGAGGACTGGAAGAAGGAATTACACCCCTGTGGTCCCGGCCTCCTCAGAAGTGAACCCAAAGAAAACTCATAAAACCGGAGAAGCAGCTGGTGTGGACAGGGCTGGGCTGAAAGCCAGTTGGCTGCTGCCATTTCATAATGATACACCTTACTTATACACGACTCGTCTCTTTACAGAGAGAACCCTTCCCATGTATTACCCGGCGGGAGCCTTCTAATAACCATGCGCCGTCCAGGTTACGCAGGTGTTATTACCCCGTTTTATAGCTGAGAACATGAAATCAGACTGAAGCTCAGAGCGGCTTCCCGCTGCTGGGGCCCCCTGCTCTGAGGGGTGCAGGCGTGGGAAGGCAGGCCCGCCACCCAGAAACAGAAACCTGGTGTGGTGACTGGGATCAGAAGTCACAGTGCCGTCCGGGTGAGACAATGCCTCCGAATTTGCATGCCATGGATAAAGAAACTGAGCCAGCCCTAGCTGGTTTGGCTCAGTGGATAGAGCTTTGGCCTGCAAACTCAAGGGACCCAGGTTCGATTCCGGTCAAGGGCATGTACCTAGTTTGTGGGCACATACCCACTGGGAGGTGTGTAGGAGGCAGCTGATCGATGTTTCTCTCTCATCGATGTTTCTAACTCTCTATCCTCTCCCTTCCTCTCTGTGAAAAAAACCAATAAGATATATATATATATATTTTTTTTTTTAATAAAAAAGAGCAGAAACCGGTTTGGCTCAGTGGTGGAGTGTCGGTCTGCAGACTGAGGGGTCCCAGCTTCGATTTCGGTCGGGGGCATGTACGTTGGTTGCGGGCACATCCCCGGTAGGGGGTGTGCAGGAGGCAGCTGGTCGATGTTTCTCTCTCATCGACATTTCTAGCTCTCTATTTCTCTCCCTCCCTCTCTGTAAAAAATCAATAAAATATATTTAAAATAAATAAATAAATAAATAAATAAATAAATAAATAAATAAAAGAAAAAAGAAACTGAGCCAGGAAGGGAAAGTGACTTCTTAAAGCTGAAAGTTCTAGAGCACATGTGTCAAACACAAGGCCCGTGGGCCAAATCCGTCCCGCCAGGCCTTGCAATGTGGCCCGCACTGCGCTGTCATCACTGCACTCTGCTGCGTTTCCATCACAATGACAGTTTATGACTGTTCAGTAAACCATTCGGCCCGCGATTTAGGCTGGATTTTAGATTTTGGCCCCTTCTCTGATTGAGTTCGACACCCCTATTCTAGAGGGACATGGACCAGCCTTGTTCTCCGTGGCCCCTCTGTAGCTGCCAGGTCCGGGAGCCGTTGGCATTCCGAAAGGCCAGGCAGTTGGGATTTCGAAAGGCAGGGCTCTTCACAGCAGACAGGGACATGGCTGACCAGGTGGCACTCTCCCAGCTCACGAGGTCCCCCCTGTGCCTCTGAGAGCCCCGAGAACTGAAGGATTCCAGGTGGGGTCCACCCAGCAGTAAAATCAACCCCTACTCCCAGCTTGCTTCATGGACTGTCTGCCCCAAAAGGTTCACCCGGGGCATTCTCACCTCTCGGGACCGCATCCATGCTGCTCAGAGGCACCTGCCTGGGGCAGATGGGACTTTGTGGGTTAGACATGCCAAGGAGATTGGTATTTCAAATAGAGGCAACAGGGAGAGAATTCTGGGAAACCCCAAGAAATGAATCCAGCAAGGTGGACGGCACCCAGGGCTAAGGGCAGAGTTCCCATGGCACTGACGACAGGATCCCTAACCACTGGTGACACCCCACACCCACCCTCTGCGTGGGTGCTGGAGCTCTGATCATAGGACAGCCACACCTCCCAGCTCCAGCTTTTTTACCACTAGTTGTCATGTCTCTTGCAGGCTACAGGGGACATGGGGAGCGTTAAAAATGGCCAGGTTTTCAAAAGCAAAATCAATAATATACCTGAGGATGTAGCCCATACTTTTAGCAGCATTTTCTAGGAAAGCTGTGCCAAAATGGGAAAGGAGCATGGCCTGGGGGGAGAGGGGAGCAGGCTGACAGGCTGAAACGCATCCCATCTCGGTGGGAATGCCGAAGGTCAAGGGGTCCAGGAGGCTTCCCGACTCTGCTCGCCACTGCCCGGTTTCCACTCTGTTTCTGTGATGTCAAACACATGCACCTCTTCCCACATCTCCCCTCCGCCATTCTCTGGTGAACACACTAGTAGAATGGCAGTGTGGAAGCATCCTACGGCAGTCATGCTTCTTCCTACGGGCAGGGCCAGTGTCTGCCGTAACAATCACCGCCCCTCTGCGAGGCTAGTGTGACAGCTGGACTCTGGTCCCTAACAAAGGCCTGGGCTGCTCACAGGGTCCCAGAGAGCAGATGGCCTGTGGTCCCCTGGTCTTGTGGGTATTGGTGCTCTGCACTGTACCCCCCACCCTACCCCCAGGCACACCAAATGGACAGCCATCACCACTGCTCTCACAGATTTCAGCCTGCAATCCTCCAGCTCCTGTTCTGCCTGCATCCCCAGCGCTTAGCTCCGCAGGACAACCGTCTCCCGTGACCAGCTCCTCCCAGTTCCCCAGGTTGGATGGTGATCACTAACATCAGGTTGAGATTCAGCACACTTTTGTTTTCCCACCAGGTTGTGAACTTCAAAGGGCACAGGCTGTGTGTTTAGCATCTTTGTGCCCAGCATACAATAGGTCCTCAACCCAATGTATTGAATGAATGAATGGATGGATGGATGGATGGATGTTTACAAGCAATGCCTGAGAGCTTTGGTGGCCAGCAAGGGCCCTAATGCAGTGTAAAGAATGAGGAGCAGCAGGCAGAACTGCCCCAGTCACAGCTTTGGGCTGGGAAACCTGCCGAGATCCAGCTGCAAGTGTGGGCTCTGGTTGCGAGGTCACTTCTGCTCCAAAGTTCTCTCTCCTCTAAGTTAAAACCCAAGACATGACCTATGACATCAATTCAGCCACGCCCTTCCATTTGCAGCGGGTCTGCTTACCCCTGGGGATGGTTCACTCCTTATGGGGACTGAGCTCTGTTTGGGAAAACCCTCCCCACCGTACAGCTCCCACTTCTGTAAATGCTTTGCAGGTAGCGATAATGACAGTGTCCCCACAATAATGCCCACAGCTACCACTTATGGAGTGCCTGCTGTGTGCTGGGACCATAAATAATGCTGTAAGTATAATAGGTTACTTGCCCAAGTCTCACAGCTTAAATGGCAAATCCAGAATTTAGTCCCAGAACTACCTGACACAATCCACTATTCCCGATGACAAAAGCTAGCTCTTTCTTGATTTGGGTGGGGAAGGGGAAGGGAGAGAACATTTCTACTTCTCAAAAGGAGCATAATTCCTAGAGCTATACTATCTAGTAGCCACAGGTGGCTAATTGAATTTTAATTAATTTAAATCAAATAAAACTTAAAATTCACTTCCTCAGACCCGATAGCCACATTTTTAGACTTTCTTTTTTATTGATTTGTAAAAGAGGTGGGGGGAAATGTTATTTGTTGTTTCACTTCGTTATGCACTCACTGGTTGATTCTTGTCTGTTTCCCGACCAGAGATAGAACCGGAAACCTTGGTGTATCGGGAAATGCTCTAACCAACGGAGCTACCCAGCCAGGGCCTCGCTAGCCACATGTTAAGTGATCAAGCACCACTGGCTGAGGCTATGGCATGAGGCAGCAAACGAGAACATTTTCGTCATCACAGAGTTCTGCTGGGCTAGCTGGCCTAGCACCTCTCCCTCTCGATCTGAGTAACCTAGGAGAAACCTTTCTGACTTACCCCCGAGGACAAGCTACGGACACCCTGCATTTCCCTCTCTTCTGTGCTGTGATCTGTCAGGGCAGTGATACGGGAAAACATACTGGTTTCAGCCCCAATACTCTTCCTCTTAACAAAGGGTCTAGGATATTTCTTTTCCAAACCCAACTACTTAAAAAAAGAAAAAGTCTCAGTAGCATTTCTAACTCACACTAGGCACTCACTGCCAAGTCCCTACTCTCTCCCAGGTCAGTGCCGCTGTCCTCAGCCGCCTTGGCCTCCGAGTCCTCTCTCCCAGGGGACATTCCCTGAGGCTGGGCAGTGGGGAACCAACTCCTGGCAAGGAGGCTGACCACCTTACGGCTGACTTGAAGTTCACGGTGCTTGCCAGAGCACAGCCACTTCCCAAGGACCTAAGTCAAATTTTTAGCTCCCAGCCTGCTCCTAAGGATGGAATGCAAGGAGGATGCAGGCAGTTTCAGGACCCCAGCTCCACCTCGCTCACGTGACCTGCTGGAAGCTTGGCCGCGGGTCCCCACCACAGACTTGCACTTACCTGGCCGTGAACAAGATATGTTCTTTAAGGTGTTTAATGTCTTTACACATGGTGGTTTTCCGCTCCCTTCAGCAACCCTTTGACCTCCGCGTGCTCTTGAGCATTTTGAATTATAAACCACTAGGATAGGCCTGACCTTCTTGTCTTTGATTTCATGGTGTGGCTCTTGCTCAATGTTCTCTGACCTCGTGTTATTATTTTAAAATGAAAGGCAATGGACATTGAAGTTGACAATGTCAGGCCTCCCTTGGCAAAGCCTGTGATTGTGACTGTGGAAGAGGGTTAGGTTAACTGGAGGCCCTGGGACCTGCTGCCAATTTGCAACATGACCTGCTGGACAAGTCCCACAATCCCCATCCCCTTTTTCTACATCATGGCCTGCCTCAGTCACTGCCTGGTGGTGAGACCAAACGAGATCAACAAGAAGAGAGCCAGGGCTGGGACAACTTGTTCAAGAGCTGACCATATAGATTGTTCCAAACTGAGTGTGCGTTAAAGCGATATTCTGTGAAGGTCAATGGGCTCCTCAGGGGAGACTGTGATTGCTATTGACTGAATCATGTCTCTCCTCCCCTAACCCCCCCCCAAAAAAATTCATATTTTAAAGCCCTGACCCCCAATGTGATGGCATTTGGAGATAGGGCCTTTGGGAGACAGGATGGATGAGGTATAAATGAGATTAGTGTCTCTATGAGATTCGTGTCTCTATAAGAAGAGGGAGAGACCAGAGCAGTGTTTTAGGCCCTTTCTCCCTCCCCGGACCACCCACCACCATATGAGGACACAGAGAAAAGGTCATCTGCAAGGCAGGAAGCTCTCACCAGGGACCAAACCTGCCAGCACCTTGTTCTTGAACTTCCGAGCCTCCAGATGGCATTGGGTAAGCCCCCAGTGGTATATTACTATGGCAGCCCAAGCTGACCGATACAGTGTCTTATTCATCACAGCATCACTCGAGTCTGACACAGTGCCTATCACACAGGAGGCTTGGTTAGTGGGTTAATGTGTGCCATCCCGACCTGGTCAACAGGCCACGCACGTTTGATGGGCTTGGCCCTATCCCCGCTGTGACCCAAAGCACCCATGTGTGAGAGGCTCCGTCACTTGGGGTCAGCGAGCAGGCACCCTCATGATTTTGCTTGGAGGAGAAAAGCTGCGGTTAGGCCTCATTAACCCCACGTCCTACCAAGCCAGGTGTTTGCTTTGATCACTGAACACAGGCCACTTGTGGGAGATAACAAGCTGTGATACAGAAATTCCCCTCCTGTCTCTGCAGTATGTGTCTGCCCCGCCCCTCAGGCACCTGGCCCCAGGGGCGCCAGTGTTTCTGCAGGTCCGTCCCTGCAGACAGTGGCTCTCTGATACAGGCATGGTACTCTAGGATGCCTTCCTGGAGGTGTGCTCACTTGAGTTGGTCTCGGATTTGGTAAGTGGCAAAGAGGAAGAAGCAAATGACTCTTCCCCATGGGTAAGGTAGGTTTGGGGTTGTTGTTTTATTTTGTTTTTTATTGATTTCAGAATGAAAGGGAGAGATAGAAACATCAATGATGAGACTCGTGGACTGGCTGCCTCCTGCACACCCCCTACTGGGGATTGAGCCTGCACACCAGGCATGTGTCCTGCCCAACACATGTGAACTACTGCTTCATAGGTCCATGCTCAATCACTGAGCCACACTGGCCAGGCTAAAGTGGGGGGAGGAGCCAGGCAGGCATTACAGAGAGAAAGGGGGGCACTTAGGGCTGGTGTGGGTCAGAGAGGGGGCCTAGGAAGACTGTTCTGATTTGGCTTTTGCCTGGTCCTGAGAGTTGATTGAAGAATGGGCAGACAACATGGTTTATGATCAAAGACCTGGACCACAAGTCGGAGCCCTGGCTGAACCAAATGTGTTCCCCAGGTAAACGGAGTCATCACCTCCACCGGTCTTTCCGTGATGTTACAATTGGAACTCCTGCCAGATGAAAGGGATTAAACAAAACCTGGAAAGAGGAGTAACCGGAAGCCAGGGTGAACACAGCCAGCTCTGGAAAAGGAAACACATCTCTGAGCTCAGAGAACCCCACAAGCCCTGGGAGGCAGGTACACATAGTTCATCCTCCTACAGAATTAGCTAGGTCCCCTTCTTTCTCCTCCCACCTATCCAACCCTAGCACCCCAATACCCCCTCCTGTGGGAAAATACAGTGCAAGCTACAGCTGGGCTGAAGCTCTGGGTTCTGCTTTGGAAAAGCATGAGGAGTGACTTTGGGGGGCTACAGGTTGAGGGGAATGTGTGGAAAGAGATAAATTGCATTGGAAGAGGGGAAAGGAGAATTGGTGTGGGCAGTTGCTCTGCTCGTGGCCAAAGCTCCTCATCCTTGTCTTGGGGCAAATGGTCCCCGAGAGCACACAGAGACCTGGAGACCATGGATCCAGAGACGGAGATCAGGAAGGTAAGCTGAAGAAAGACAATGAGACCATGTGAGATAGTCAGTCCTTCATTTTTCTCTTCTGTGACACTGCCATGATGAGGAGCCACTGGGCATGCCCCAGGCCCAGAGTAGGAGCAGCAGGCTTTGCTCTTCCCTGCCCCAGGCCCTTCCCAAGCCATCAAACCTCAGCTGGGACCACGCCCCTTGGGCCCAGACCCTGACCGTCTCACACATCCCCGTCCTAGGCAGTGGGACACTCACTCACGGTCAGGACCATAGAACCATTCACTCCTTCCAAAACTCTGTACTGAATGGCCACTAAGTGCTAGGCATTGCCTTTGCACTGGGAATGTGCTTGCCTCTGCCCCGCCGACCTGTGGCAGGGGGCACTACAGCTGGCCAGCCCAAACCTGGGCCATTGCACACCAGGGAGCTTCTCCCTCAGCCCCCAACCGGCCCCCACCTGGCGCCTGAGGGCTAGGGGTTGGGGTCCCACCTCTGGGTAAGTTTACGGGGTTGGCCCTCCACCTGTCCGGGACACATCCCAGCTCCAGGGTGAGGAATGCCTGATCCCACCTCCTCTCTCAGCCTACGGAGACCCTTTGGGATTCTCCTGGAATTCTGTTCTCGGGCCTTCAGTCTTATGATCGGGTCTTACCCGCTGGGGTCCTAAAAGCCACCACTCTGGCCATCCCCCACAGGCACCCTGCAAACATCCCCCTGCGGGTCCCCTTCGGTCCCAGTGCACTAAAGCGCGTCCGCCTTGGCGCTGGGGGCGGGCGGCGGGGCCTGCAGGTGCGTGCGCTGGTGCTTGAGCAGGTGCTGCTTCTGGCTGAAGCTGCGCCCGCAGGCCGCGCACCGGTAGGGCCGCTCGCCCGTGTGGTTGCGCCGGTGCCGTGTGAGGTTGGGCTTCTGGCTGAAGCGGCGGCCGCACTCGGGGCACGGGTAGGGCCGCTCGCCCGTGTGGATGCGCCGGTGGACGGTGAGCGCCGACCACCACGCGAAGCTCTTGCCGCACTCGCTGCAGATGAACTGGCGCTGCTCGCCCGGCCCAACCAGCTCCTCCCGCGCGCTGCTCCTCCCGTCGGTGGGTCGCCGGGCTGATGGGGGGCTGTGCGGTGGTGGCGCCGCCGACCGGCCCGGGAGGCCTTGGGCCTGAGACCCGGGGCCCAGCGACTTGGCGGCGGCGGCGTGCGCGCACCGGTGGGCCCGCAGCGCCGCGCGGCCGGCGCAGCTCTGACCGCAGGCCGGGCAGCGCGCCGCCGGGGCGCCGGGCAGGTGCGTGCGCTGGTGCTTGAGCAGGTGCTGCTTCTGGCGGAAGCGGCGGCCGCAGTGCGCGCAGGGGTGCGGGCGCTCGCCCGTGTGGTTGCGCAGGTGCCGCGTGAGGTTGGGCTTCTGGCTGAAGCGGCGGCCGCACTCGGGGCACGGGTAGGGCCGCTCGCCCGTGTGGGTGCGCCGGTGGATGTTCAGCGACGACCACCACGCGAAGCTCTTGCCGCACTCGCTGCAGATGAACGGGCGCTGCTCGCCGGGCCCCGCGGCGGCGGCGGCGGCAGGCTGGGCCCCCGCTTGGCGCCGCCAGCCCTGGAAGAGCCCCAGCCAGGCCCACTCGGGGCGCCCCCGCGGCGGCCCCGGACGCAGGCGGCAGCCCCCGCGGGCGGTGGAGTCCCGGAGCAGCTCGCACAGCCCGGCGGCGCGGGCGCCCTGGCGGCCCCGCACGTGCGCGCGCTGGTGGGTGCGGAGGCCCAGCTGGTGGCGGAAGCAGCGCTGGCACTCGGGGCAGGAGTAGGAGGCGGGCCGGGAGTGGGTCTTCTGGTGCTTGAGCAGGTGCTGCTTCTGGCTGAAGCGCCTGGCGCACTCGGGGCAGCGGAAGGGCCGCTCGCCCGTGTGCCGCTGCTGGTGGCGCGCCAGGTTGGGCTTCTGGCTGAAGCTCTTGCCGCAGCTGCCGCACAGGTAAGGCTTCTCACCCGTGTGGGTGCGCTGGTGGATCTTCAGGGATGACCACCAGCTGAACCTCTTCCCGCAGTCCAGGCACACGAAGTGGCCGGCGCTGGCAGGAAGAACTGGGCTCAGGGGTCCGGGGGCTGCCCCCGGAACCTGGCCTGCCAACCCAGCATCCTGCTCAGTGGGAGGGGTCCACCTGGGACCCCCAGTCTCCTCCTGTCCCCCCAAGGATCGGGGTTTCCCCAGAGCCTGGCATGGTGGGAGCCCCAGGGGCTGCTGGAAAATGTTTTCCTTGTCCTTGGAAAGCGCGGCCGGCGGCGCCAGGGTCTGCAGCAGCCACTCTGGCTTCTCTGGCTTGATCTTCATCACCAGCCGGTCTCCTGCCAGAGGCAAAGGGACAGAGGACGGGGAGAGTCAGTCACTGCTCTGAGCTGAGGAAGACTTGGCTGGAGGACAGAGCATAGCAGAAAATAAGACAAGGCCGAAGAAAGCAAACGGAAGAGATTTGAAAGGGGAGAAGGGGGAAGGGGGACAGGAGAAGGGAGACAGGAGGGGAAGGAAGGGCAGTAGGGCAGGGGCAGGTTGGGGTTTGGAGAAAGACAAAGGGAAAGATGCAAAGTAAGAAAGCTGGTCCTGGCCCGGTTTGTTCAGTGGTTAGAGCGTCAGCCTGTGCACCAGGGAGTCAAGTGTTCGATTCCAAATAAGGTATCTGGGTTGCAGGTTCAATCCCCACCCCAGCAACCAATCAATGTGGCTCTCTCATATCGATGTCTCACTTCTCTCCCCCTTTTCGCTCCCTTCCACTCTCTCTCAAACTCAATGGAAAAAAATATCCTCAGGTGAGGATTAACAACAACAAAGAAAGGAGGGAAGCTAAGTGAAGCTGCTGTGCCAGGGCACACCAGCTGTCCCCCTGCTCTGCCCGAGACCCAGGAGACGCAGGGACAGTTAAAGACACCCATCCAGTGAGATCTTCCCTGGAGAGCAAGCAGAACATGGCCAAGTTCAAACATCTTCTTTTCCAAAGGCTCATGGGCTAGGTGTTTGCTAAGCGAGTCTGTGTCCAGTCCCTCAGTGGCCCATGTCCCTGCCGGGCTCTCTCCAGGGTGGCAGCCATGGTATGTGGGCACCTCACCTGCTGGGTCCTTGGCCATTTGGCAAAATCACTTTTCTTCAACAAAAGCAAGATCAAGAAAATCAACCAGAAAGGTCTCAGCACCAGAACAGGTGAGCCTTGTCTTTGTACTAAACCTAGGCCCCTCTACTCCCGAGTCCCACACACAGGGCTGCTCAAGTCCACAGGGGCACGTGGTTCCTCCGGCTCACGGACATCAGCTCAATGGGAAAGGTCTGCTTCAGACACTATGACGTTCAGAAGCCGGCAGGACTGAGTGAGTGAGAAGCCAGGATAAAGACTCCCTGTTTGGAAGGGGGCAGGAGGGACTTCTCATTCCGGCAATGGTCTCTTTCTTGATCTGGGTGCTGGTCACAGGGGAGTGTTCGTATCATGAGAATTTATAGAGCTCCTGAACTAGGCACTTTTCAATGTGTTACAATTCAATAGAAAGTTTACATTCGATTAAAAGTAGGTAAAATGAAACAGTTGTGAACAAAGAAGAGAGAGAAGCTCTAAACAGGTTCCAATATTTAAAAGACAATAAATCCAGAGGAAGTAGGAGGGAGGAATTAACAAAGAAAATAGCATATGTGTGTGCATGCCAGTGTGTGTGTGTGTGTGTGTGTGTGTGTGTGTGTTCCCTTGCCTGGCAAGTTTTGAACTGCCTTCTGTCATTTTCTTAGTTCTTATAATGTCTTTGTCCCATTCTTTGAAGACCTTCAACATCCTGCAATTCCACACCCTGTAAGTGAGCCCCAGGGGCTGTGTGACGGCAGCTTTGGAGGGACAGGAAGACGGAAGACGTGCCAGGAAAGGAAGCCATGGTTGGCTCGCACCTTCCCATCTTCTGTCTTACCTGTGCTGGCACCTGCCGGGCTGCTCTCCATCCCGGGGGACCCACGGTGCCCTGACTCGGTCTGTGCGTGAGAGGGGAGCGAAGGAAACAGAGTTGGCCGGTGGGACAAGGACAAAAAGCTTTCCCAGTCCTCATGCCAGCCACTTCACAGAATGCATTCCTTCTCTTTCAAGAGCTTTTCTGTCCATGACCTTGGCTGAAATGTGCAGCATTTTTTAAATTGCACACATACCTGCCAGGCAGGTAAAACAAGCACGATTCCCATTTTATGAAGAGGAACCTGAGGTCAGAGAGGGCCGCTGACGTGCTCCAAGTCACATAGGTGCTGAGTGATGGAGCAGGGCAAGATCCCAGGCCTTCCAGCTCCCAGACTAAAGCCTCGGGTCCGGGCTCAAAACAACTGCAGGGTGGGACCTGCTCTCCGCAGAGCTTGTTGGGCCGCCAGGGAAAGGTCATTGGAGTGTGGGGCCATCCTCTCTTATTCTGCCACCCAACAGTCTCACGCCACCTGACGCATCAATTGACCTGAGATGCCCAGGAACCCATTCAGCAGGCTGCCTAGCAAAACGCTCCAGCCAGAACACAGGAAGCCATGGGCCAGCCCGCCACCCCCAACAGTGCCCACGGAGTCTATGAAGGCCCCTTGGCCTTGACCCCACCCTCCAATGACCTTTCCCTGGCGGCCCAACAAGCTCGGTGGAGAGCAGATCTCAGGGCCGGGCCCTGATCACCATTTCCTTCCCAGCCCCTGGCTCCGGGCCCAGCCCTCCCTACGTGGGGTCAGGCTGCAGCTGGGATGAGTCCCCTCAGCTGGGGCAGCTGCCATGACAACTGCCAGACCACACAAAGCGGGGATTGTGGCCTGTGGCAGGTGGTGAGGTCTGGGCCAGGGGAAGGTAACAAAGGAGCTTTGGTCTCAGCAGAAACTTGGGGGCGGGAAAGGGCGGGCAGCAGCTGGGTGAGGAGAAAGGCCACAGTGCAGGGACATGTCCAGGTCTCCCACATCCTCCCAAGCTCAGGCCCCTGGAGCTTTTCCACCAGCCAAGCACATCTCTCTTCCCCTCATGGGGAAGGAGTGGGTAGCGCCTCATGTGTCCTTTGTCACCAATGGACCAGGGACTGGCCACATGCCCTGCACCAGGAGCTGAGGCTTTCGGGGATGGCCCAGCTCCCAGGCCCTGCTCAGTCATGATCCCTGACCCAAGGCTGCACCCATGCCCTCACCGTCTGCCATGCTCACTTATACCAACAATCCTGCCCCCACGGGAAACTGCAGGCAAGGGGTCATCCTTCCCCAGGTACCCCACCACATCGAGCTGGCCTCCCTCTGCCCCTTGGTCCATGCTTCCCTACTTTCTCTTAATCACCTCTCTCCCAGCCATCTGCTGGTTTAACTCCACCTGGCCCTCCTCCTTGCCTCACCCACTCAAACCAGCTGCCTTCCCTCTGCCACGTACTCTAGTCTGGCTGGCCCACTCTCTGCTGGCTGATTCCTCAGTGGGTGAGGAAGGGGGTGGGAGGGGGCGGCTGAGAGCTTGGGATAGAGTTTGCTTCTTTAAAAAAAAAAAACATAAATATATATATATATATATATATATATATATATATATATATGTGTGTGTGTGTGTGTGTGTGTGTGTGTGTGTGTGTGTGTTTATTGGTTTCAGAGGGAGGAAGGGAGAGGGAGATAGAAACACTGATGAGAGAGAAACTTCGATCACTTCCCCTATTGGGGATCGAGCCTGCGACCTGTGTCCTGAAAATGAACTGGAGACCTCCTGGTGCATGGGGAGACACTCAATCCCATACCAGCCGGACTGGGGTTCGCTTCTGATTAGCCATGTGACCCAAGACCAACTGCTTTTCTTCTCTGGGCCAGTTTCCCCCTCCACAGATGAAAGCAATGCTTGTTCCTAATGTATACAATTGTTCTAGCAAATGGAAGGAACAGCTGAAAAGACTGAAAAATGTTCACAAGGTGCGAGATGACTTCTTTTTAGGTCATTGCAGTTGCCACACCTGCCCCCACACACACTCCCCACCTTGTCAGGACTGTATCACAGGGTTTCCCCGGGAGGAAGAACCCGTTCTAGTGACCGCCGTTTGCACCCGCCAGCCTTCCTTGGGAACCATATCCAGGGACAGCCTGGCAGCCGGTTCCCCATGCCTCTCCACTTCCTGGAGGTCCCTGATGTGACCCCAGACCCAAACCTGTAGCACTTCTTCCTCTATCTGACTTACGTGCACATCTCTGCTTGGACTGTCCCACCCCCTCCTGCATGCCCCCACACCTGCCCCTCGCCCGGGGCATCCCCACACCCATCCCAGTGTCCTTTTAAAAGAGCAGCACTCATGTTCCTCCACCCCAAGACCAGGACTTAGGAGCCTGCCTGGGCCTGGGACCCCCATCACCTGATCTGAAGACCAGGGACAAAACCAACCGCTCACAACACTGAACAAGTGTCATTTTCATCTATACATCCTTTTCTAGTGCACTGCGTTTTGAAGGAGCTTGGGAAAAGTAGGAAGTGTTTCCCTCTTGTAAGATGAGGAAAGTGAGGCCGAGCTGACATTCTCTGACTCAAAGAGAATTAGACATGAGGTCTCCTCCTGCACGCCCTGACCGCGCTTTTCTCTCCAGGCCACTCGGCCCTAGGAAACCCAGGATTCCTCAAGTGACCTCTCTCCAGGGCCAGATGCATGGGACAGACCACTCCCATCATGCTCTGCACTTGACCTCAGACCGCCCTTGCTTCCCCAGAGATGGCAGTGGGTCCTCATCAGGCCTTTCCAAGATGAACCACCTTCGCTACGACGCAGCACAAATGCCCACAACACACAGGCACTGAGTGGTACGTACCGGTGCTATTTTTTAAGACCTTTGGACCTCCTACTGCCACTGCTTTGCCTCACCACTTCTCTCCTGGACACTGGACCTGTGTTATAGCTTATCTTGCCCCTCCAACCCACCTACCACCCAGAATTTAAAGCAATATTACAATCTGGACATGTTTCTACTTTGCTCAAAATACTTCGATGGGTCCTCAACACCTTCAGGTTCCGTTAAAAATTTCTTGGCAAGACCATTTAAAACTGGCCTCTGCTCACCTCTCCTCACTGCCTGAGGCTCAGCCTGCCCCACTGTCCCACTCTGCGGCCCCCTGACTTTGCCACGTGGTAGCATGCCTGTGACCAGCCCTGGAATACTTTTGCCCAACTCTTCCCTGCCCAGTCCAATCAGGGATCACTGTGACCAGGAAGCGTTTTTGACTTGCAGGCTCAGGTAAGGGCCCTTCTCTGTCTGACCTGTGCATCCACTCCACCCAGCACCATTCACATGGTGTGATAATATTTTGTCTGTCTCCACAAGACTGCCCACATCTTAACACAGGGGCTGTTCCTCTTTCCTCGGCACCCAGAACAAGGTCTCACATGCTGACAAACCACTAACAACAATTTTAATAAAGGGACATTTCAATAAAAGAAACCTAAGTCCAAAACAGATTACAGAATCATAGAACCTTAGAGCTGAAAGGAGACTAACACTCTCTAATCTTTTCATTTTACAGATAAAACAGGGACCAAAAACAAAACAAACAAAAACAGCCTAAGCCTAAACGTTTTCTTGCCCTCGGCCATTCTCCCCCCACCCTTATCTCCACCCCTACATCCACCCCTACCTCTGGGGCTTTGACCACACCCAACCCAGGCTCTGAATGACCAAGACCCAACTCCAGGCTCCATCCTGTCCAAAGGGCCATAAGGGGCAATCATCTTCATGTCCTCCCCCATTACAGGAGAAGAAGCCCCAGCCTCTCCCACTCCCCACCCCACCCCACCCCCGAGCCCTGAGCTGCTGTGCCCATTTTCCTGGAATGGAGGTTTCAGGGAGACCCCTCCACACACTTCCATTTCTGTAGTGCTTCCCTCCCATTGTTCTCACCCCAGCCCCAGTTCCCACTCCTTCGATGGTTCATGGGGCACCCCAGTGTCACTGCGGCGAGCGCGGGGCTCCTCCCTCCAGAGCCCCGTCTTTCTGGGACAGCCCCCGCGCTCACCGCCCGGTTCCTCCCGCTGACACACGCCCCTCCGGCTCTCGGCCCGACCGGCAGCCCCTCCCACGCACGCCCCGCGCCCGTCCCCCCGGGAGGTGTGGATCGGGCAGAGTTCGAGGCCGGAGCGCCGGGACTCGGGGGACCCCGAGGCCGCCCCCAGCCCAGGGCGGGTGGAGGCGGCGCGGGAGGAGCGCCCGGGCGCCGGCCCTAGGTGCGCGGTCTCCCTCCGCACGGCCCTCCCGCCCGGACAGGGCCGCGGAGGGCGGGCCGGGAATAAATACCTTTGACTTTGAGGCTAAGGTTAACGGGAACCGCCACCCCGGGCGACTCTGGCGCCGGGCTCCCGGCCCCGCCAGACCCGGCGGGGGGGACGGGCGCGCGCTCCTGATTGGCTGGCGCGCCTGGCATCCCCAGGGCCGCCCCGCCGCCTGATTGGCTGCGCCTCTCAGATGACTGCCGCGGCCCTATCGGAGGCGCCCGCGGGGCGGCCCTTTTGTTCTCCGGAGCCAATGGTCGGGGCCGGTGGGCCGACCTCGCCCCCCTGGGCATCTGAGGCGCTGGGAACCCGCTGGCCACGGGGCACCGGTCCCGCGCCCCGGGCTTTGAGGGAGGCCCGGCGGGGACGAGGCCTGGTTCTGACGGGCACCCGCTCCCTGTCCCCCGGGGCTCCCCCGCCCGGACCCGCAGACCACGCTGTGAAACCCACGCAGGCCCTCCGTGGCTCTGGGCGCCGGGCCCGGGGGAAGAAGCAGGAGCCCCACGGGGATGCTCACACCCGGTGTGCATGTGACGTGGTGGTGGTGCGGTGAGGTGGTGGTGGTGCGGGCACCACAGCGCACCCGGTGTTAGATGTGCGCGTCTCCTGTGACGGGAGAGAAATCGCCCTCCGCACCCGCCTCCGCGCAGCGCATGACCAGCGGTCCCGGGTCCTCAAACACCCTTCAGCCCAACCCCTGGCCTTCAGCGGAGGAGACAGCGATCTGGGCCTGCGGCGGTTTCGTCCCTAAATCGAGTGTCACCGCTGCTTTAGAGGCAGTGTCCAGATGGCCACGGAGGGTCTTCTGTTCGTGGAAAGCTTCAAGAAGCATTTCCTCTCCTACCCACTGACTGGCAGTGCTCCTTTTGTCAGAATTCCTCATACTGCCACCTCACAGGGAGCCAGCAACGTCCGTTCCCACGGGCAGGATGCTCTCAGGAGCTGCTTAGAAACCGCCTTAGGGATGTGAGGTTGATACAAACAGAAGCTGGGCTCTCTGAGACTGCCCACAACCCTTACTGCTCAGCCGGCGGTCTGTTCTGATGAATGCCAGCAGCTGCCAACGAAGCATCTGCCAGGGGCCAAGCTGCTGGTTAGCCTCTGGTGACCAAGATTCTAGCAAAGTTTGACGACTTATTATTCTTTGTGTGGGTTTTTTTTTTGTTTGTTTGTTTGTTTGTTTTTTACAAAAGATACATTGTCTCTGGATTTTGACTTATCTGTAAAAGAGTTGCATACATACCTTACTGGATTTTTGCCGGGCCCTAATTGATCCTATCATTGATAGAAACTTTCATAAAGTAACCTTACACAGAAGCCAGCCATCACTAAGCCACCAACTCTTTAGAGTCTCATTCATCTCTTTATTTTCTAGAATACCTAGCAAAGGCTAGGATGCATGTTCTAGGCCCATAGCTGCCGCTGCATTCAAGTGGGAAAGTCACAGTCACTCCTGTGAGAGACTTCCTCCAGATTGACATTTCATGACCGAGGTTACCTAGAGAGTAGAAAGAATGAAGCATAGCTGGGGTCCTATTTCCATAAAGTAAAAATGGGGGGGCCATATGTTCATATCTGCAAATGCACAGAAAAATACTCTGGAAGGACACTACCCTCCAATTCCCTACATGGAGTAAAGATAGGGAGGGCGGAAGGGAGGGAATGAAAGACTTCCACATGAAAAAAGAAATACCTAAGTCTATCTGCATTGCTTACTTTTGACAAGTTAATTGAATACTTCTGTAAGCGTAGAAGAAAACAGAAACAGCCCAGGGCTCTCAGAACAGAAGGGCAGCTCCTGTCAGCAGAGCGCTGACCATCCAACCCAGGCAGTTCCTCTTTCAAGCCTGCTGGCAGCATGCCAGCTGAGCAAGGGCTTGGGACCCACTGGGTCCCCTGCAGGACTCTAGGGGCAAGTTCGCTCTATCCTGCCTTACCAGCCCCCTCGAGGCTACTTCTGTGGCGTTCCCTGGCCCCTGGCCCTCTTCTCACCACCTCTACCCAAAAGCAGCGGGCAGCAGAGAGGTAGAGAACTTTTGGTACTCACCTTCCCCACACACCAGGTCTTTTCTTTAAAGGTAAGTTTTTAAAAAGTCAGAACCCATGGTCAGATCCCCTGTCCCTCATCCTTTTCTCTGACATCTCCCCCCAATAACCCTAGATGCCTAAGGACCTATCTCCTGCTCCCTAACCATTATCCCATCTACCTACTTTCCTGATACTCCCCCACCCACCCACCCTCCATAAAGCACTGCTCCCTTCCCCTGAAGCCCTCAGCTCTCTTAGACACATTTAGGTGAGGCTTTCTTGACACAATGCCCCCAGGTTCTGAAAGCTAATTTGCCACCATCAACTACACAGGCTTTTAAGTGGCCCCATAACCCCATAAACCAATATGAAGCATTGAAGTTGCCTGATTCCTTCCTATACACGTGGAGTCTCACACACCCTCATGTCCATCTCTCTATACTCATTATTTGTGTACACATCTATGTCCACCCCAAACTTACTAGTAGGCCTTCTAAGGGGAAAGATTGAGGCTTATCTTTGTAAACCCTGTTTCCACCCGCACATCAAGCAGAGTAGGCAATGAATACTCATCTTCACCAAAAGCAGCAGCATCCTCCACGGCCAGGGTCAAAGCACAGGTTCCAGGAGTCAGACTGACCTCTGACCATCACCAGTTACATGGCCTTGAGCAACTGCATTCATCTGTAAAAGAAGAGTACCTACCGCACAAGGTAATTTGGGGACACTTCTTTGCGGGGTACCACTCACATAAACAACTTGTGGCTATTATTATTATTATGCACCAGACTATGCCAGGTGCCAGTAACCTGTACAGAAATTACGAAGACTGGCAAGAAAAGGGCCTATGGATACCTGTCAAAAACAGGCAACCTTATTTGTATGAAACAACAGCACCAGGAAGCGTCCACAGTAACAGATGTGGGGGACTCTAGCAGGGAGGCACTGCAAGACAAAGTCAAATCCGAACTTTTCCCCAGTAACTGGCACCCACAAGTCTGACCTGACCCACAGGAGGCTGAACCCCTCTTGCTGGGTGCGCCCCGCCTTCTCTGGGGAAGGGGAGCTCAAGCAGGGACAGAGGGGCTCACGTCGGGGCACTTGGCCTGCTTCCAAACTCTTCCCCACACACAGCACCCCTCCTCCTTCCAACACCACAGCTGCAGAGAGAAAGGAACACTTCTCAGCCACCAGTGCTAAAACCAAATCTTTATTCTCTAATTTGAAAAGGAGGGTGGTAGTTGTTTAGTTTCAGAGAATAGAACAAGGCCCGATAGGTAGAGATTATAAGAAAGCAGATTTCATTCATTATAAGGAATAACTTCTAACAATTAGAACTTCCCTACAATAGAACCAGGGCCTCAGGAGGCGGGGACTCCCTGTCACCTAAGTGTTCAAGCGGAGGCTAGGCATCTAGACACTAGAAATGCTGAAAAGAAAACGCACCCCTATCTCCCCCCCCAACATCAGCCGGGCAATCCTTCTACAACATGTGGGGTCCCGGAAGGTGTGAAAGGTGACTGGGGTGTTGACAAAACCCTGGACACAGGACTGCTGACAGCCAGGGGGTGCTCTAAGCACGGGGAGGGCGGTGGATAGAGAGTCGGATGGGGCTTGGCTGGTGTGGCTCAGTGAGTGAGTGTTGACCTATGAACCAGAAGGTCGTGGTTAGGTTCCAGGTCAGGACACATGCCCAGGTTGCAGGCTCGATCCCCAGTAGGTGGTGTGCAGGAAGCAGCTGATCCATGATTCTCTCTCATCACTGATGCTTCTCGCTCTCTCTCCATTCCTCTCTGAAATCAATAAAATAAAATAAAAATACATTTTTTTTATATCAAATGGGGTGACCTGTTCAGAACCCAGAACTGACCTTTAGGGAGGAAAGGGAAGCCAGACTAACAGCAGATGGGTCTCTCCCAGATGAGATGGGTACCAAAGCAGGGGCAGGTGGGAGGGCAGCAGAGGGACAGGTCAGAGCAGCTTGGCTTCACCTCCCAGGGCTGCCCAACAAGGCCAACAGGTTTCCCAGCTACATCCAGCTGGTCCGCTTTGCTTCCCAAGTGCTCTTTACTAAGGACTACCACACCTACTTCCAAAAACAAGCTGAAGCTCAAAATCAAAGGCAGGGACATTAAGGCGTTACCACCAGAGAAGGGCCATCCTGCCCACCGGCAGCCCCTCCAGCAGAGGACAGACACTACGGGGTGGGCACAGGTGCTATTGCTACTTTTCCAGGGCGCAGGGCAGCGAGGAGGGAACCGTGGCAAACGCCAGCGGGAGGCCGGGTCCCTGTGCCCAGCATGGCTCCCTGGCCTAAGGTGTGGGGCTGACCTCCCTCTGCAACGGGGCCTGCCCCTCCAGCCCTCGCTACACCCACAGCAGCACGGCCCCGCGGCCCCACTGCGTCTCTCCCTCGTGAACGACGCCCTGCCCTCAGCCGTCATGCTTCTTCTGGTGGGTCAGGAGCTTCTCCTCGTCGTCAAAGGTCTGACCACAGATGGCACAGCAGAAGGCGCCGTCCCGGATGTGGCTCTTGCGGTGGGTGATGAGGTTGGACTTCTGGCTGAAGCTCCTGTCGCAGTCGGGGCAGGCGTAGGGGCGCTCGCCGGTGTGGATGCGCCGGTGGGACACCAGGTTGGACTTCTGGCTGAAGGCTTTGCCGCAGTCGGGGCACACGTAGGGCTTCTCGCCCGTGTGGATGCGCCGGTGGGCCGCCAGGTAGGGCTTGTGGCGGAAAGCCTTGCCGCAGTCCGGGCACACGAAGGGCCGCTCGGGCGCGTGGTCGCGCCGGTGGGCGGCCAGGTGGCTCCCCTGGGAGAAGCGGCGCCCACACTCCTCGCAGGCGAAGGGCCGCTCCCCGGAGTGGACCCGCGAGTGGGCCACCAGGTGGGTCTTCTTGCCGAAGTCCTTCCCGCACTCGGGGCAGACGAAGGGCCGCTCCCCCGTGTGCTGCCGCTGGTGGGCCCGCAGGAACCGCTCCAGCCGGAAGCTCCTGCCGCAGTCCTCGCAGCTGTAGAGAGACGGGGCCCCCTCCGCCTGGTCCCGGGGGCCCTCTCCGGGGGCCTCCAGCAGGGGCTCGGGGGCAGGCTCCCGGACAGGCGCCGGGGCGGGCTCTGCTGGAGATTCCGGGGGCGCGGCTGGAAGCCGGGGCCCCGCGGTGCTGGCGGCGCCCTGGGCGGACCCCTCGGACCGCCTGTGGATCTTGCTGTGCGACAGGAGGTTGGGTTTGTGGCGGAAGCGGCGCCCGCACTCGGTGCACGGGTAGGGCTTCTCGCCCGTGTGGATGCGCCGGTGTGAGGTCAGGTAGGGCTTGTTGGTGAAGCGCTTCCCACACTCGGGGCACTGGTGGGGCCGCTCGCCCGTGTGCACGCGGCGGTGGGCAATCAGGTTGGGTTTGTGCCGGAAGCGCTTGCCACAGCAGGCGCACTGGAAGGGGCGGTCCACGGCGTCCCCCCCGGGCCGGGGGGCGGTCACTGCCGGGCGGCCCCTGGGCCGAGGCCCAAGAGCCTTGGCTGCTGCCTCCTCCAGGGCCTCGGCTACGTGTACCCGTTTGTGAGCGACGAGCTGGTCCCACTGGGCGAAGCTCCTGCCACAATTGCCGCATATGAAGGGCCGGGCCTCGGGGGTCGGGGGATGGCGCCTCCGCAGATGCACTCGAAGCTGCTTTCGTCGCCAGAAGCGTCTCTCACACTCGGGGCAGGCGATGGGCCGCTTGGCAGCCGAGTGGGCCTGCAGATGCAGTACCAGGGCCACCCAGCCTCGGAAGCTCCGCTTGCAGAGGTGGCAGGAGAAGCCCAGGTCTGGTGTGGCTGCCGCATGGACCTGGCAGTGCAGTGCCAAGAAGGGGGCGTGTCGGTAGCGGCGGCCACATTCCGGGCAGGCCAGGGGCAGCCGGGCCTGGCAGTGTCGGGCATGAAGCCACAGGGCCACCCAGCCGGGGAAGTGCCTGCGACAGTGGGCACAGCGATGGACCCGACCTGGAGCCTGGCTGCCTGGCTGGGCCATCGAGGTACCTTGTAACCTCAGCCGGTGGGGCTCCTTCTCCAGGGTCTGGGACGACTCCGGGGAGGGCCCCAAAAGGAGCTGGGGCTGGGCCGAGCCCATGGCCAGGGGGCCCCTGCAGCGTCGTTCCAGCATCGGTCCTTCCTCTGCTGTGGGCGGAAAGGCACAGTCACATGAGAGGTCCACTCGCCCTGCCCCCACTCCTCCCCTGCCACTCCAGCCCGAGGGAGCTCTCCGCTCTGGATCCCTAGAGCCGTGGAATCTAGGCTACTCTTCTATAGTAGTTCAACCTTGGGCTTCCAGACACAGTTCAAGTATATTTGTCATGAGTCTTTATTGACCCTGACACTTCTTAGAATCCCCCATGGCCGCCATGCGCCTGGCGTGGAGTAAACACTCCATATTGGCTGCACAGGCACTTCTGCCTCTCCAGAAAGCATATCGCCGCTCTCGGCGGTGCTTCGTGCTTTTCCCAAATGCGGCCCTGCTGCCCTCTCCTGGCCCTCCTACTTCCTGTTGCCACAACAGCTTCCCAGCAACTCTGTGAGGCTGGATGAGCAAACATTAGGCTCTCTGTTGGATAGATGTAGCAACCCCGAGGCATAAAAGGTGCTAAGACTGGCCTGAGAGGGCACAGTAAACCAACAACAGAACCAGGGTGAGGGGACAGGTCTGAACTCCCAGGCCAGCGTTCTTTCCTCTTAAACCCTGTAATGCTCTCACAGAAACTGCTAGAACCTTTCATTCCTATTATCTTCCCCCTGATATTAATCACAGCACAAGAAGGCTTTTTCCGCCTCCCTAACTCAGTCTCTCAGGGGAGAAGCCAGGAGAGGGGGAGACGGAGTGAGAACAGCGCTGCTGGGAACAGGAGGGGAGCTGGATGCTACTCTCAGCAAGAGGCCAGGCCACCGCAGTCTGCCCACATGCCCCCCGCCACCCACATGCATGATTAGGACATTGCAGGAAGGAAAGCTCTCCCAAACCCAAGGAACACTCACAACCTGCTCCCCTCAGGGACCTTGGGCCCTGGCACTGCTGCCTCCGTGGGTGGGAGGGATTACTGGGGCAAGAGCAGGGGAGGAAAAAAGAGATTATGTCTAGATCTGTCCCAACCCCGGCGAGAGCTGCCCCATTTTCAGTAACTCCAAAATGCCAGGGAGACCAGATTCCTGCAGGACAGCCGCCAAGCCCGCTAAAGGGCGGTCCCTCCTGAGGGACCCTCACTTCCCTACTCAAAAGCTCCTGACACATCCTCCTAAATTCCCCGGAGTCCGCACTCCTCAGAGGATCACAGACATGACTCATTCCCAGCCGCCAGGCTGAGCAGGGAGGGCTCCAGGATATGCCAATGGGATCCTTCCCCCACAGGCACCCTTCCTCCCAGGGATGGGGGGCCTGAGCACCAGGGCTGTGGAGTGGACTGAAACCCAGTAAAGAAGGCCGGACTCTACCCTGGAGACTGTGGGGCTGGAGATGAGTCTTTTCCCAGCTCCTGGCGGGGGTGCTCCTGGGGATGCTTCTGCGGCTGAGGCGCCTGCTTCGGCCCGCACTCCGGTAGCCCCCGGATGTCAGAGAAAACTGCAGGAGCAAGGACACCCCTACCCCCATGGCAGAGCTCAGGCCTCTGACTGCAGAGAGGCCAGCCTTACCTGTGGGGAGGGGAGAGAAAACAAGCATGAGGCTCTGCGCTCCGCTCCGCCAGGGCGGTCATCTTTGTGTCCTCGCCAGCCACAGCCCCCTCCACCATGCAAGTCCCCCCCCACCCCCACCCCCCCACACACACACACACACGGCCGGCAGAGTGACCTTAACGGCTACGACATTAGGAAATAAATGTGTCCCCCGCATCAAGAAAGCACACAGCCGCGTTTGGGGGTCACGTCCTCCACGGGTAAGGTCACAGCACCAGTTCTCCGCGCCGACTGACGGCCAGAGGCCGGACTCCCCGCAGCAACTCTGGGGTCCCCGCTGCTCCCCTCCCCCACGCCCTCCTCCCAACAGGAATTCCAGGCCCGTCTCCCAGGGACCGCGCTGGCGAGCCGGTGGCCGCGGCCGGTCAGCAGCCCCTCGGGGCGCGTCCTGGGGGGCAGAGGGCCGTGGGCACTCTACACCCACCTGCACCCACCCGCGCTGGGGATCCTTGCACGTCCCCGTCCCCCAGCTCCGCACTCCCCGGGCGGGCCCTCTGGATCCCCGTGCAGCGAGCACCTCGGGGCGCCTGTGCGCAGGTGCGCAGGCCCCCGCCTGCACCCCCTTGCACCCCCCGCTCCGGTCGGCCGGTGTCCCCCGCACGGCGCGCGCACGGTCACGCGCCAGGCAGGCTGGGCCGCCCCCGCCGCGGCCCGCGCGGAGCCCGCGCCCGGCCCGGGACGAACCTCTCCCGCCGGGAGCGCGGCGGCGCGCTGCGCGTCCATGAGGCCCGATCGCCGGCGCCGGCCGCCGCGCTCGCTCCCCCCGCCCGCCGCGGCGACAGCAGCTGGTCCGGGTTCACCGCTGCCAGGCCGTGCTCAGCCCCGCTTCCCCCCCGCCGGTTCCCAGCGCCACGTGACTACAGAGGCTGCCGAGGGTCAGTCTCGGGCTCCGGCCGGCGGCCGCGGCGGAGGGAGGAGGGAGGAGGAGCGGTCCGGACGGGCAGCGCTGCCCGCGGAGTGAGGCCATCGCTGCCCCCAGCGCGCCCCCTCGCGGCCCGGCTGGGGAGGCCGCCCAGGGCCCGGCTCCGTTGCCGTGGCGACCGCAGCCCGGCGATCCCGGAGCCGGCCCGGCGCAAGCTTCCTCCGACCCTTTGTCCCCACGGAGGGCGCGCGGCCCGGGACGACCGCGCGGCCGGACCTGTCCTTCAGCCGGACCGGGCCTCGGCCCCGTGGGCTTCCTGCAGCGCCAGGCTCCCGGGCCTTTCCAGAGGGCACCCCCCTCCGCCTCCCCCCGCCACGCCCTTCACTCTCCGCCGCCTTGACCTTGGCCTGGGCTGCGGCACCTCCCAGGGGTCTGAGCCGCGTTGACAGCCCCCCAAGAGTCTGTTCCGAAGCGGAGACAGAAAGCGCCTGAGGGCGCGAACTCTGAAAGGGGAATGCCCTCTGTTCAGCGATGGGCAGAGGGCGGAGTGGCGTCGCCCGTGGCCGCGGGGCCGGGGCCGCTCGCGCTCCGGGCCATTCCGCTTGGAAACGCGCGGAGGCAGGTGCGAGCCTGCGCCGCCGGTGACTCACCCGCTAGCAGGTGGCCTTGGCTTTCCAAACAGCACGCTTCCTGAGTTTCCCAGGCTCCTCCAGTCTCACGCTTTCCAACAAAGGCCTTTTTTTTTTTAATTGTACCAGTAGCTTAAACACTTTAAAAATCTATTCCATAAATAGGAAACAAAATGTATAAAAATCTCTCATACTAGAGTGAATTACATTTAATATTTTGGTATGTGTCCACCTCCAATGCTTTTCTGTGCTTATCTATGCATATGGGACATACTAGTAATTGGGATAATGCTTTTGGAAAGATGTATTCTGCCCTTTATACATAACCCTGCTATGAATTCCCGCCCACCCCCATTTTATAACGTGATTCTTAATGTCAGCATAAATGGACAAATAAGTTGCTTAGATTTTTCTGTCTTTCTATGTCATTATATAAATTTGTCTTTCATGTCTCCAGGCTCTGTGAAGATGTTCAAGTATTATTTAGAAGCAGCTCTGTGTCTGCAAGAGGGAAAACTCCATCCACCTATTGGGAACAGACTGTTTCAGGCCCCGTTCATACATCCAACAAATATTTAATCAGTGTGCACCATCTCCCGTGGCGCCAGGTGCTGGCCTGATCGGGAGCCAGGCAGAAGGGTCCTCGCTGTTTTTCCACAATGCCGTATAACCCTGGATTAGTGGCGGCCATGTCTCTTGGGTTAGTACTTAAAGTGAAATAGAACCATATGCTCGTTGACAATTTCTGAATGGATGGCTGTTGAGAAGTAGAGGAGACTAGGGAACAGAGAGGAGAGAGGAGAGAGGAAAACTTTATTCTAACGGAACTTACTTTATTGTCAATGCCTGCCGCGAACAGCATCCTGAAGGCAGATTGGGAGACTCACCGAGCTTCTTCCGTATGTTTTTCAGGCAGTGTGGGAAGGAGGAAGGAAGCACAGGTGACCACGTTCACCTTGGTGGAGGCCGCATCACCCTGAGCAAGGCCCTGACTGCCCAAGGCCAGCACCTCAGGTGAGAGCAGTCTCGCTGGATCATGTGGAAACTCTTCAGGAACAGATCAGTGTGCTTCTGCTGCTGCCGTTCTAAGAATATCCTTAGAGGCACAATACACACAGTGCCTGGCAAGGATGGACCTCATAAAAGCAGCCCTCGACTGGGATCAAATGTCAGCCTAACTCTGCAGCACCGGACACTGTCTGCCGCAGATCTAGTTCCAGGAGTCTGTTTTTTCTAAAAGAAAAAGAACTTCATTGGTCCAAAGGAAACCAGGTAGGGATCTCAGATTTCCCATGCCAGCACCAGGGTTGGGAGGCCCTGCTCACCACTTTTCACCTCTCCCCACATCCACTGCCCCCACCTGGCCCCTGCACAGCTGCCCGGGCTCTGTCTCCCGGACCAGATTAACCCTTTTAAGCATACATCAGGTGACTTACGTCCCATTTTTAAAACATCACAAACCACTGCCACAGCCTCTCAGACTCTATCGGGTCTGACCATGCCTACCGCTGTAGCTCCGTGCCCTCGGGGTCCCGGTGGGCACTGTCCCAGCCTCAACAACTTATGCCTCCACTAGGGCCTTTGGAGTTGCTGTTCTGTCTGCCTAGGACGCTCTTCCACCAGAACATTATAGGGTCAATCTTTCACTCTATTCAGGCGGGAGTCCAAATATCCTCTGTTCTCAAACCATGTCCCTCCCACCTGTGTACTCATCTACTCATTCCCTTGGCCACTGTGACAAATTTCCCCAAACGTGGTCACTTAAGACGACACACATTGATTCCCTGGCAGTTCCAGAAGTCAGGCATCCAAATTCCTTTCACTGGGCCTGAAGCAAGGTGTCGGCAGGACCACTGTCCCTCTGGTGGCTCTCACACAGGAGACTGTTTTCCAGCCTCGAGAGTCGCGTTCCGTGGATGCCTTGGCGCCCTTCTCCCTCTGCAGAGAATTGCCTTCTGTCTCTGCTGTGGTCAGATCTCCCGCTGCCTCCCTCTTATCAGGACCCTTACGTCCAGGGCCTGCCCAGATCATCCAGGACAGTTGTAAGGGCAAGTTAAAACTAAGAAAGACGCAGAAACCAGTTTGGCTCAGTGGAGAGAGCGTTGGCCTGCGGACTGAGAGATCCCAGGTTCGATTCAGGTCAAGGGCATGTACCTTGGTTGCGGGCACATCCCCAGTAGGGGGTGTGCAAGAGGCAGCTGATCGATGTTTCTAATTATCTCTCTTCCTTCATCTTTGTATAAAATCAATAAAATGTACTTTTTTAAAAAAAAAAAAAAACTAAGAAAGACAAGTTTGCATTCCTGGTGCAAAAAGGGGAGAGACTTTCCCCACAGCCACCACCCTTCCCTTAGAATACTTGCCATTGTGAATTTTCCTCTGTCTCTTTGAGATGTATGTGTACACAAGCCTCTTGTCAGCTTTACAACCCAGGAGTGTCTCTCTCAGGGACCTGGAAGCCATCTCTTTGAAATGTAAATATCAAGGGAGACAGGGCTTGTCTCCCAGGCCCCATGGGAGGCTGGGACCCTAACCTGGGTGGACACCTGCCTCCCAACTGCAATACTACCTCCTGCCATAAAGATATGAGAAGTGTGTTCTTCCTCTGGATAAAGGCAGTCAACAAACACCCCATTCCCAGGTGAATCTAGGATGAACTCTGTGACAAATGGTCAGGTCCTCTCCCCGGAGGACTGGAGAACATGTGTGTAACAGATTGCACCTGCTGGGCTGTGTAACAGGTGAGATTTCTTCCTGTCTTTGCAATCTCCTGGTGGACTTCCTGTGATGTGCATCTCATTCTGGTGTGATGATTATTCAATAATAAAATTGTGGGTTTTGTTTGTTTGTTTTTCTCTTCTATGTTTGTGGGGAGCTTTCTTGGTTGGGTAGGCAATTTTTGGGTTTTAATCCTATTTTCCCAACATAATCTCCCCATCCCAAAATTCTTAGTGAAATACATCTGCAGTCCCTGTTGCCATATAACATTCACAGGTTCTAAGGATTAGAACACAGACAAGCCCACCACCCACTCCTGCCCCGTCATCTTCAAGCCCCCTCCTACTTGGTCTTATGGTACTTAGCAGTTATCACCTACTTGAAATTATTTAGGCATTTATTCATTTAGATGTCTTTTGTCTAGTTGACTACCACAACCTAAGTCACACGAAGGCAGGGGTCATCCTATCTTTTTAACCACCATCTAGCCAGGCCCTGGAAAGGTGTCAGCCCGTGGTGGGTCCCCAGTGTTTGTGGACCAAATGAGTGAGGAGCTTGACCCCGTGGTTAAGTGAATTTGGTGAGACCACACGAAGCTGCCTAAGAAGCAGCCTGAGCCCAAGTGTCCACCTCATACTCTCTCCTTCGGCTACTGCTGCTGGAGCCGGTGTTGGGAGCCCCACAGAACTGCTAGTTCATGTCAGTGTGTGAACGAGGTGAAGAGCAAGAAACAAAAGAAAAAATTTTTTTTCATTTTTTCATTAAGGGATTATATGTGTGCATATCTTACCATTGTCTTCCCCCCACACACTCCCATACATGCCCCCACCCCCCAGAGTTTTGCGTCCATTGGTTATGCTTATATACATGCACACAAGTCTTTCGGATGATCTCTTATCTCCCCCACCTCTCCCTAATCTTCCCGCTATAATTTGACATTCTGCTTGATGCCTTACTGTCTCTGTATCTTCAAAAGAAAAAAAAATTTTTTTAATATATATTTTATTGATTTTTTTACAGAGAGGAAGGGAGAGGGAGAAGGATAGAGAGTTAGAAACATCAATGAGAAAGAAACATCCATCAGCTGCCTCCTGCACACCCCCTACTGGGGATGTGCCCACAACCAAGGTACATGCCCTTGACCTGAATCGAACCTGGGACCTTTCAGCCTGCAGGCCAATGCTCTATCCACTGAGCCAAACAGGTTTCGGCTCAAAAGGAAATCTGAGTCTATAGCTCTCCCATTTGAAGGACTCATTGTTGGAGGCAGTGCCTTAAACATATTCTTTCACCTGGAACCCTATTCCAGAATCACTGGAAGGCAGGATCCTTTAGGGAACCCGTGGCTCCTCCGGGAGAGGAGGGTGCTCCCCTCCCTGGCAATGACGTTTACCACCCATGGTGGTTTGGTCTTAGGAGCAGACATGGCGAGAAAACGCTGGAACAAATCCTCCTGGTGTCTCAGTCAGGAAAGAAAGTGCTTGACTTTACCTAGAAATCTACATGTATACCCTTTTAAGGTTAAGTCCCATCTATTATTACAATGCTATGTCTTATTCAACTCCAGACTGGGATCAAATTATATCTTTTCAACTTAATTAAAAAGATGAATTTAGAAGCCAGTGTGTAACTGTTCATGGTTTAAAATTTACTAAACAGCCGAGACCGGTTTGGCTCAATGGATAGAGCGTCGGCTTGGGGACTGAAGGGACCCAGGTTCGATTCAGGTCAAGGGCATGTACCTTGGTTGCAGGCATATCCCCAGTAGGGGGTGTGCAAGAGGCAGCTGATCGATGACTCTCTCTCATCGATGTTTCTAGCTCTCTATCTCTCTCCCTTCCTCTCTGTACAAAATCAATTAAAAATAAAATTAAAATTAAAAAAAAATTTTTAAAGTTTTATAAAATCTACTAAACACCAAGCTTGATTTGGAAACAAGGGAATTCTAGACCGAATCTCTGCCGTCCAAGTAGTTTAGCAGAAGCAGGTATATTTTCAAGTGTCTTGTTTCCTGTGAGTGGCGTGGGCTGTTGTTGCGAAGCCATCAGTCCACGTTCACCACCAACAAAAACGCTGTCTCTAACCTTGGCTCGTTCCTACCCAGACTCCTCTCCAGTAAAACCGCTTGATGCCTTGGAGGAATCAGAGTGTGAACCTGGCCTTGCTCGGTGCCTTCTAACAGGTTTAAGACCAAACCTGGGTCACAGTTAAATTTGTTTGCCTTCAGAGTTGGCCAGAGAAGTCTCAATATTCCCAGGATTGGTTAACTTCCAATGTATTACAAATGAGTTTTCTCTTCACAGTATTTATGGTTTATTTTGCGGATGTCATTCTAAATTCCAACAATATAGCATGTTGACTACATAATAACAGTCTATAGCAGAACTACATCCAATAAATAATATACTAAGTAAAATTAAAATTTTTTGAAGCTTGAAAAATGTTTCATTTCCTAAGCATCTAAACTGCCCTCACTGCCAAAACCGGTTTGACTCAGTGGATAGAGCGTTGGCTTGCGGACTGAAAGGTCCTGGGTTCAATTCCGGTCAAGGGCATGTACCTTGGTTGTGGGCACATCCCCAGTAGGGTGTGTGCAAGAGGCAGCTGATGGATGTTTCTTTCTCATTGATATTTCTAACTCTCTATCCCTCTCTCGTAAAAAATCAATAAAATATATTTAAAAACAAAAAACAAACAACAACAACAAAAAACCTGCCCTCAGTGCCTTCTTCCACTGGCAGAGGTGCCTCTCATTATCCAAGCCTGTGCTGGTTCCCAGCTCTCACAAGCATGCATTTAGGTGTAAAACCGCTGCAACAAGTTGGCATGACTTACCAGTCAGATGCAGTAAAGAGAAGTTCTTAGGGTTAAGCCAGAAGTCAAAAAATGTTCACAGGTGACCACAAGTATGTAAGAAAAATAATTCCACAGCCTCGGGGAATTCCTAAGTTTCAAGGACCTAGCTCCCGTTCACTGTTTCCCTCTAGTGGTAAGTCTTTGAGTGAGATTTGAGGAGCTCGTGGGTCTGCGAGACTTTCAGCTCAGTTATTTGCCTCCTAGTCACTTTGATTTGGGAAAATATTTTTCACTCATGAAAGTGACTTCTTAAATGTATTTAATAAATTGAAAGTGCCTTTGGTTAGTTTGCTGAATTTCCTTGAAAGAGCACAAATTCTAAAATGTAAATATTACATTATGCTATTGTTAAGGTGCATCTGTTACCAGGCGGGGTCTGGGCCTGGAGTGGGTCTGCCTCGGGCCCACTGTCAGTGTGTGGGTTTTTGACTTCGTGTAGACAAGATTTCCCAGCATGGTCCAGGTGATGTAGAGAGTGTGTTTATAAAGTTGGGGACAGTGGAACAAAGGAAGGGCTTAAGATAGAAAAAGCGATGGGAGAGAGCCTAGGCTGGGCTGCTTTGGCTCTCTAAGAAATAAAAGCCACAGTTAAAGAAATGAGCTCACTGGGAAGCCAGAGAAAAAGGGGGCCTTAGAGACAGGTTCAGGGGGTAAGCCCAGGACAAGTTGCCACTGCCCACTGCTCCCCTAGTTGCAAGTATCCTGGGATCGCTGAGAGTTTAGGAGAAAAACAGCAGAGATACAAGGTGTGGGTGTGCTTTAGTGAGCGCAAACAGTGAGTCCTTTGTCTTGAGGCTTTTTATATTTTTTGGCTGGATGGAATTCCAATGGGAGTCTCAGGGGAGGACCTTAAAATAATATTTATTAGCGTTTCAGGTGTGTCCTTTAAAAAGTTAATTAATTGCCGAAACCGGTTTGGCTCAGCGGTAGAGCGTCGGTCTGCGGACTGAAAGGTCCCGGGTTTGATTCCGGTCAAGGGCATGTACATTGGTTGCGGGCACATCCTCGGTAAGGGATGTGCAAGAGGCAGCTGGTCAATGTTTCTCTCTCATCGATATTTCTAGCTCTCTATCTCTCTCCCTTTCTCTCTAAAAAATCAATAAAATAATTCTTTAAAAAAATAATAAATAAATAAATAATAAAAAGTTAATTAATCAAAATGTGTGTACAGAGCCCTGGCCAGTGTGGCTCTGTGGGTTGGAACATCATCCTGCACTCCAAAAAGGGGCCAGTTCAATTCCAGATCCATGTTCTCTCCCCCTTCCTCTCCCTAAAATCAACTTCTTAAAAAAAAAAAAAAAGGGCATATATTGCCGAAACCGGTTTGGCTCAGTGGATAGAGCATCTGCCTGCAGACTGAAAGATCCCAGGCTCGATTCCAGTCAAGGGCATGTACCTTGGTTGCAGGCACATCCCCAGTACGGGGTGTGCAAGAGGCAGATGATGGATGATTCTCTCTCATCAATGTTTCTAATTCTCTATCCCTCTCTCTTCCTCTCTGTAAAAAATCAACTCTCTCTCTCTCTCTCTCTCTCTCTCTCTCTCTCTCTCTCTCTCTATATATATATATATATATATATATATATATATATATATATATATATATATATATTTTAATGGCCATATAGAGTGATCAGGGGTTATTTTCTCTTAGTTTAATTTTAAAGAATGTCATCAATTGAAGAAGGACCAGAACCTAGGACCTGATGTCCCAGGATGGTCTGGAATGGGAAAACCATTTGTTCCTAAGTGTCCTTGGTTAGAGAATAGAAAACCTTGTGATTCCTTAGCAGACTGTAAATTGCTCAAATACCGTAGTTTGGCCTTATTTAATTATTTTGGGGTTTTCACGTTATTATTTAATTATTTTGTCTCGGTTTTCCTTATTCCACTTCTCTAGGAACCTCCCTAGCTTCTTACTATCCTGCTTCACACCTATTGAAATCCAAATTTCAGTTTCTGCCACACTAAAACGTCAAAAATGGCATCCTGATCTTGTTACCTTTTTTGAAGGTAAATAATAGGATTTAAACATTTATTCTCAATAAGGCAAAAAATTTTTGGCTTAATATTAGTCATCTTAACCATGTTCGTTTTGCTCATAAAGCACCTGATCAGTGTGTCACACAGACAAAAACTTGGCTTTTCATAGCACCAGGTCTTCAGAGAGGATCTCCTGTGTGTGTGTGTGTGTATACGTGTCAGGACTGCCAGTACAAAGGACCACACACTGAGAGGCTTCAGCTACAGAAATGTAGCTGATACACAAAGTGTCCCCTTGGGAGTTCAACCGACCGGCAGTTTGACCACTTACTATGACATGTGCTGACCACCAGGGGGCAGTGCGAAATGACCACCAGATGGCAGCCACTAGGGATCCTACCTGTGCATGAATTTTGTGCACCAGGCCTCCAGTATGTGTGTGCATATGTGTGTGTTTGAGTGTGTGTGTGTGTGTGTGTGTGTGTGTGTGTGTGTATGCTTTAGAGCAGTGTTTCCCAAACTTCTCTCATGATGAGAATCACCTGGTGGAGTTGTTAAAATACAGATTCCTGAATCCCAGCTAAGTTTACAATTTTACCTATATGTTCCCAGAAATTCTAGTTTAGCACTTCTTAGTTGGGATTCAGGAATCTGTAGTTTAACAACTCTACCAGGTGACTCTCATCATGAGAGAAGTTTGGGAAACACTGCTTTAGAGCATTGGGGGGGCGAGGGAGGGGGGGAGGGGGGGAGATTGAATGATTTCTGATTCCTCAGGGCCTCATCTGGTTTGAGGATGTCTGTATTTCTAGGGAGAATGTCCTGAAATGAGTGTCACTCAAAGGGGCCTAAGAAAAGGGCAGCCCTACCTGGAGGCAGGGTGCGGGGCAGAGCAGTCCCATACCCTGAGGAGAAGAGGGAGGAGAGTCCTCCGTGCCAAGACCTTCTAGAGCTTGGGCTCCTGGGCCTCACCTCACTCCTTCCCAGGCTCCCTGGACACCCTGCTCCCCGCCCCGCCTGGGTGAGCGGCCCGGGTCAGGATCACGGACCCAAGGGCAGCGGAAGGGTGGGACGGAAGGAGAGGCCCCGGCGGGGGTACTGCCCCGGAGGCCAGTCCTAACGGGGTGGGCGGAGCTGGGGACTGGAGGAAGCCCCGTAGTGGGAGGGGGAGGAGATGGAGGGAGGGAGGGCGAGAGGCGGGCCAAGGGTTCTGGGAAAAGGCTGACAGCTCCGAGTCACCGCGGCGGCAAGTTAGAACAGACTCCGCCGAGCACCAAAAAGGAGGTGAGGAGGGAGAGCTGCCTGGGGCAGCTGATGAATGAGGGTGCGAGAGAGGGGTGGAGAGGAGAGGGGCAGGAGGAGGGAATCCTCCAAGGGCCAAGCTTGTCAACTTGTCCGGAGCCCTTGCTTTAAGGAACACGCTGAGGCTGAGGGAGGGGTGATGTGGAAGGCTCAGAAAAAGGACCAGGGAGCGTCTGTCTGAAGAAAGCCAAGGGTGGGGCCCCGGCCAGACCCCCTTCTCGGCTTAGGGGCAGGGCCCATGGCCACCGCCAGCCCCAGTGCAGGGAGGGGTGAGCATCCTCCTGGGTCCCACCCTGGTTTTGGCTCTCCAAGTGTTTACATCCTTCCAGAAATGTTCAGCCTCCTTTCTGAGCCCTCTTCCCCTGCAGTTATACGGGAGGGGGGGAGGGGGGGAGATGAGGACCGGAGGCTGGCACCTGGGAGCCAGTAGACCCAGGGTGGGGAGAGAAAGCTGAGGGACTCTAGGGGCAACTAGGGCAGTGGGAACAGAGAACTGGCAGGAACGTGGGGGGGGGGGGGGGGGAAGAGAAGGGAGGGAGGGAGGAAGGGAGGAGCAACAGGAGTATTTCCCTGGCTGTTGGCCTAGGACAAAAGCCTACTCAGCATCTACCCAGGACAGGGCCAAACCCAGGCTGAGCTGGATCCAGGGAACAGGGCAGGCAGAGCAGGGGAATACCAGGGTAATCCAGGCAAAGGGCCACATCCTGTCCTGTCCCTCTACCTTTGCCCTCTGCGAGGCATGCCCCCCTGCCCGACCCCCCATGCAGGGCCAGGGGGTGGTGGCTCTCTGGCTGGTATGAGGAGCTGAGAGCATGCCCTTTGCAGGACCAGGTGACTGAGGCGAAGCCATGTGGCAGCTGCTGATGCTGCTGGCCCTGTGGCTGGGCACAGTGGGCTTGGGCAGGGCCGAGCTCACAGCAGCCCAGCAGCAGGGCCTGCAGGTGGCCCTGGAGGACTTCCATAAGCACCCGCGTGTGCAGTGGGCCTTCCAGAAGACCAGTGTGGACATTGCCATGGACAAGGTTAGCAGCACGACCCCTGGGAGGAAGGGGGTTAGGGCCTCACCCCAAGAGACCCAGCTGCTAAAGTGCTTGGGTTCTGTGAGCACCCAGCTCCCTGGAGAAAGGCCACTACGCCAGCCACCAGCTGGGTGGGTTGTGCTGTTTCACTGTGGGGAGAAGGGACGGGTCACATTCCAGGAATTGCTCTGCTTGCTCAACTGGCTGCTGGCCTTCCTCTGTCTGTCTGTCTGTCTGTCGGCAGCCCTCCCCGGCAGGGACCTTTGTGAGGCTGGAATTTACGCTCCAGCAGACAGGCTGCGTGAAGAAGGACTGGAAGAGAACTGAGTGCAAGGTCAAGCCCAATGGGGTGAGTGGAGATGTGCACATGTGTGTGCACACGTGTGTGACGGGGCACTCGCTCAGGTGCAGGTGTATGTAGTTGGGTTTAGTTGTAGGTCCAGCTAGAAGCCTGAGGTTGGTGACCCCTCTGTGGAGCCTGTGGCTGTAACACTGGGGTGGCTGGGTCTAAGGAAGCAGGAGGGAGAGGTAGACTGGCATGGAGGGCGACTTCATCCGAGTTCCTCTCCCCAGCTTCAGATCACTGGCAGAAGCCCAGGGTGTGGGTTGGTCTGGCCCCAGAGCTGGTGAATTCCGTCTTCTGTGAATCTTCAAGCTGAGACGGCCCAGCTGAGTCTGATCCATGACAGGGCTTGACTGTAATCAACCATCTTGGGGGCAAAACCTGCTATTGGGGAAATCCCTGGGCTGGGAATGCAAGCATCCCGCTTCTAGACTCAGCTCTGCCAAGCACCCACCCTGTGGCTTTGCAACTCTGAACTGAAGGCCTCAGCTCCATCATCTGGTAAAGGAGGGGCCAGGTTATACCAGGCATCTGTGCCAGAATCCTTGTCTTCAAATAAAACCTTACAAGAAAATCCAAATAAATATAATAGATGGCAGGAGAGTGGGTCTGGCGAGAGTCACTTGGGGAGGACTCCTGCCTACATCCGCCAAAGTCCCGTAGTTTTGAAAATTGCAGGATGGTTTGACTTCCGACATTTCCAACCCAAGGGTGGACTGCGCCTGAAACCAGCTGGTCTGCGGGACTCTTGCCCCTTTGCTCTGGGGCCTGGAAAGGACCTCATTGCAGGCAGCACCCAGCCTCCACCCTCATGAGGCCACAGGCCGTCCCTCACCCCTTTCTTCTCCCTGCCCCTCCCCCCAGAGGAAGCGGAAATGCCTGGCCTGCATCAAGCTGAGCCCTGAGTTTAAGGTCCTGGAGCGGATGGTCCACTGCCCCACAGAGATGCAGTCTCGACAGGTAGGAGTGGGCAGAGGAAGAAGCAGAGAGGTTGGGGTGGCTGGGCCTGTGGGCGAGGTTGAGAGGAAGAAGTCTGGATGGAGTCAGGACAGGGAGTGGAGGGGTGGAGCGGGGTGAGGAGGGATGAGAAGGATGAAGAGGAGCGAGGATGAGAAGAAAGGTGAGGAACGTCAAGGAGAATGGGGAAGGGGGGAAGGAGGATGAGGGGGTATGCCTTAGGGGCTGTGAAGGTGGTCTGGACAGAGGCAGACAACCCTGCTGGTCACTGCTCCCGGGCCTGAGCAATGCTGGCCCTGGCAGGGGCCCACGGAGCAACAGGAGGCCCAGTGCAGCAGGATCGAGCAGGGGCGCGAAGGAAGATACTACTTCCCGGGACAATTTGCCTTTCTCCAACATCCTGCCTCCGGCTGAGGCCCTGACTGGTAGGCAGCCAGGAGGGTGGGAGGACAGTGGAGCAGGGACACCCTGGGTGGGGGCTGGGTGGAAGAGAGGGCTGGTGCTGGTGCTGGGCTGCAGGAGGAAGGAAGGAAGGAACTCCTTAAGCTGGGACCAGCACCAAAACAGCCTTCCTCAAACCCAGATGTTGTTTTGCTTTCCTGTAGAATCCAGTCTTGTTTTCTGGACAGCTGTGGAATGTAACAAGTGAGTCAGCACTCCCCAGTGCCCAGGGAAGAACATCTGATGAACCCCAAATCAATAAAAATGTCCTCACAGCTGTGTTCTCTCCTCCTCTTGCTTTGTGCACTCTTCTCCCTTCCGCTGAGTGGTGGGGTGGTGAGTGAGAGAGGCAGGACACCCAGAATGGGGGAGGGGCTTGTGTGTGCTCCTCTTCCCACAGGAGCCCAGAGGCGGCAGGGATCATCTTTCAGGAACTCATGCCCAAGTGAAATGACAGGCATTGATGCAACAGAATTAAAACAGAAATATTTAATAGGGTTTAGAATGGGCAGTGGAGGCTGCCTGGAGACTCAGGACTGGTGGGCAGGGCAGAGGGTCATGTGGGTAGGCAAATCTGGGAAGGGGTAAATGCCAGCTTCCATGCTCTATGCTCTGCTCATATCTATTTCCAGGACCAGAGCGATGGGGGGCACTCCATCCCTTCCTTTGGCACCTTTAACCTTTAAAGCAACAGCTTTCGTCCACCAGTGTAAGGCCTGAGCAGCCAGGAGTGGCAGACAGGGGCCAGCAGCCTCCTCCCCAGGCGTATGGCAGAGGTGGCAGGACAGCCGGGCGATGCCAGCTGCTAACGGAGGGTCCTCCCACCTGCTTGAAGCAGTGGGGAAGTACCTCCCCGAAGAACAGGGAGATTTTCTTGAGGTAGGAGCGGGAAGGAGGGGGTCACTCTTAGGAACAGGGATAAATGAATAGCCCAGTTTGCAGGGACAGTGACCAGCGTGATGAAACAGTGAAGACAAGTGCAGAGGCAGGAGGAGAGATGTGGGCGGCTAGGTCACACTGTGCCAACCCCACGGCCTTGTGCCACGCTGTCCAGGGCCATGGGGCACGGTTAGAAGACAAAGGATGAAGTGGTACCCGCAGGACTGAGTACCTGCTCGGCCCGGGCCAGGCAGTCACCAGCCTGGCGGTCCAGGTCTCTGCACTCCTGCACAGTGTCCTGGAACTGCCGGCAGGCCTCCTCCAGGATGGAACTGCTCCGGGGTGGCCAGGACTCCCAGTACCCTGGCTCCACCCAGGGCTGGGCCTCCGTGATGCAGGGGCCTGGGCTGGAGCTGGGCTGCAAGGAGCAGTCCAGGTCCCGACACAGCTGGTAAAACTCACTGCCACGCCCGCTCACACGCTCACTATCTATGACCTTCAGGCCTGGCAGCAGCTCTCGGACCACCGCCCAGTAGGAGGGACTGGCACAGAGAGGGTTGCTGAGCCGGGCCAAAGGGTCCCGGAGCCGCAGGTACTCCAGGCCCCGGAGCCCCGCCAGACACTGCAGCTGGCTTGGGGTGGCCAGCAGGTTGCCTGCAACATTGAGACTCTGCAGGTTCTCGCAGGCGGCCAGTGGCTCCAGCCCTGTCAGCCGATTGTTGGCAACATTGAGGACTGCCAGCTGGCGCAAGGAGGCCAGGGGGCCCAGGTGGGTGAGCGCGTTGCCAGAAAGGTCCAGCCACTCGAGAGCCAGGCACTCGCCCAGGCAGCCGAGGTCCACCAGCCCCAAGCCCTGTAGCTTCAGCAGCAGGATGGACTCCAGGGCAAACTCGCCTGAGCAAGACTTGAGCATCTGGGAGGTGATGCGCACCCCTTCGGCCTCTCCCGGCTTCTCACCCTGAGGCTCCATCAGTCCAAGTCAGTCCAGGGGGTCTAGGCCTTGACAATCTGGGGGTCAGCTGGCTGTTCACTGAGGAAAGATAGTTAAACAGTAAGCAGAACTCTCCTAACCACCCCTGTGACCCTGGAGCAGGTGACAGCATCAAATGCCACCCACCCTCTGCTACCAGGGCCAGAAACCCCGGTGACCCAACAAGACCAAGACGCCGGAGTACCACCGGCCCCCTGAGGGAGGTGGGCCAGGCCCAGACCTTACTAAGAAGACCCGACTCAGCTGGTGAGCCATGCTGGACGGCATGCAGGCCCAGTGTTACCAATTCTCCCTATTTTCCACATCTGCACCGGATAGCAAAATCTCATAATGTTATTTTTCCCATAACCACTCATGACCTCTCGTTATTAGTTTGGAGATTATTCTTTTTACCCATTTAAGTATATTTTTTTAATAGATAATGGTCACCACCATCACCAGTCTCCTTTGTTCCCTCCCCGGGAGAGCCTTGCATTTGTGAACATAGACAGGAGCACCTGGGCCTGGCTTTATTCACTCAAAAATGTTCCTGATGTCAGAGTGCAGAATCTTGGAGGGAAGGAGGGGGAAGGCAGGTGGGTGGGAGGTAATCAACCAAGTACCTTGTATGCCTATATGCATGACCCATGGACACATGGGGCGGTGAGGGCTTGGGGGTAGAAGGCAGACTGGAGGGACTCAATGGGGGGGAAGAAGAGGGACCTATATAGTACTTTCAACAATAAAGAATTAAAAGAAAAATAATTTTAAAAATGTTCCTGATGCACCTTTTTAAAATGTAAATCCAAAATGGTTTCTAGATTATGAGGGCCAATTTGTAACCTCTGGTCCTTCAGAGGACCAGCCTTCAGTCCCAGACACAAAACTAAGGTAGGAGGAAGAAAAGGATGGTAAGCCTGGGATGAGAGGCAACCCTGCCAGACCTCCACTTTCCCTCCTCCACTCCCCGCCACTGCTCTCCAAATACACTCACCACCCGCCCAAACTAGTTTTTTACTCTGGTGTCCACAGAACAGCATCCATAACTGTTCCAGCTGCAAACATGACGTCATTTCCAAAGAAAGCAAGGGGGCTGGAGAGGTGGGGACCATCCTGGAGGGAGGGGCAGGGTGGCACCAAAGTTGGCTCCAGAAAGGCAGGGCAGGGGCATTTCAGGTCCTCAGTGGCCGAGGGACAGCAGCAGCCCAGGTGCCAGTGCAGAACAAGCACGAGGGAGGCGGCCGTGGGGAGGGTCCTGCCGCCCACAGAGGGGTCAAGGTTCCAGCAGAGAAAACAAGAAGGGACCTCTGCTCCAAATGGCAGTCTCCCAACTCTGCAGACTTTGGTCAGGCCCAGGCTATGCAGAGTGATGCCTGCGAAGAACTATGGAACCATTCACTCCTGCTGACAAAACCTGGGCCTCCGCAGAGTGTCGGCAGTCCCAAGTCTGCATTTCCATCATCAAGGCCATTTTATATTTCCCCCTCTCCAAGGAAACCAGGCTCAGCGCTCCTTCCATACCTCTGCCAGGTAGCTGGGAAGGCTACTAACAGTGTTTACCCTCCCAGTCCCCTGAGAAGGGGGTCCCTGCACCTCTATCTAGCTCTCCTCTGGTCTGCAACTCCCCAGCAAGTTCTCATTTTGATCTCATTTCTTTCCAAAAGTGACTGGAGGCATCTACTAAGAAGTCAGATTCACCCTACACAAAGTGTAGCAGGGGTCCTCAAACTTTTTAAAGTGGGGGCCAGATCACGGTCCCTCAGAGAGCTGGAGGGCCGGACTATATGAACTACTAATTCCTACTGTAACACCTCGGCTGCGCTCACTGGCCAAAAAACCTGGAGGGCCGGATCAGACTCCTCTGTGGGCCGCATGTGGCCCGCGGGCCGTAGTTTGAAGACGCCTGGTAGAGGATCTGCTGAGTTTTGTCAACAGGCAGCGGGGTAGTCCCTTGTGCCTCTGATTAAAACTGCTCTTGGCCAGAGCCTGCCATAAACGCACTAGTGAGACAGGACCTCACTGAGGGCAGTGGAGCGATGCAGAGGGACGAGGGTCTAGAACAGTAAAAAACATGCATGGATCTGGTCAGGTGACTGGATTCAGGGACTTCCTTCTCAAACACTCGGGACACAGAAGATGCAACAGGCTAGGGGGCAAGACCTTGTTTGAGGTGAGCATGTGGCACTGGACTTAGGAGACATTTGATGCTCAAGCTGAAGGCATGACCTACACAGGTGCCTGTTGAGAGCGTGTGGCACAGCAGGCCAGGCTTTTTGGGACACAGACCTCTTCCATTATCTGTAGGCCTCTGCAGGAATTTCCATATCCTCCCCGATTCTCCCCAGACACACATTAAAGGTGAAAGTGGTCACTATTCATGTGGTATAAACTGGAAAGGTCAAGGGCAGAAGTCAGAACATCAACCTTTATGAGGCTGAATGAGGATATGGCTGAGCAGCCAGAGGGAGAAATCATAACTTTCAAGGTGAGGATGACCAACACTGTTCAGACACCACACTGGCCTCAGGGGCATTCTCAGACAGAGGTGAGCCACAGCAGCCTGTGATGGTGAGGGCACCAGAGATGGCAGGGTTGCCTCTGCAGGTGACAAGCCCACTGAAGAGGCTCCTGTGAGACTCGGCCCAGGGAGGAGTGTGGGCAATGCCATACTGAGAGGCTCCTTCCAGCGGGAAGAGGCTCAGAAGGAGTAAGAGGCAATGGCCTCATGCCCATCATGCAAGAACTCAGTCACCGCCACATCACATGGCTGAATCCTCCTGGAGGTGGACACTGTGGAGGGGCTAAATAACGGTGCGAATGAGATGCAAGACGCTATCCTAGTCCCAGAAAAAGTCCTCGAGGATGTCAGAACCGGAGGGGGCTTACCTCAGTTCTTATTTTATGATTGAAGAAACAGAAACCCAGAGTGGTAACGTGATGGTCAGTGGAGAGCGGGAGACTAGAGCGGGCACTGAGCCTCCAGAAGCCATCTGCAGGCTTCCTCACTACTGGGAGCACAGAACCAGATACTGAAACCAGGCCTGCAAGTGCCCTGCCCTCACTGAAGATGGTAGGGAAAAGGAAAGATGCTTTTAGGGACTGGGTAAACGTACACAGCAGGGTGAATGACGGACACGGGCCGCTGTGCTGTACACTCTGGCCTCCCCTGGCGTGTTTTGGGCACCGGGCAGGAGAGGCCCACGCCGGCCTAGGAGGGGGGCAAGCTGCCTCCGCCCCTCCCCCGCCTCAGCATCCACTTCGTTGAGGGGGGACCACAACGCCCTAACCCCGGCTTACCTAGGGCCAGGGGCTCGGGACTTGGCCAGCCGCCCGCAAAGACCAGGCTGGTGAAGCTGGGAGGCCGGGCGCAGCTCCAGCGGCCAGTAGCGAGGAGCTGCCCCCCTCGCCCACCACCCGGGCAGCCGCAGAAGCCACCGGAAGGGCCCGGCAGAGCCTAAGGAGACTTAGACTTCCGGGACGCGCAAGGGGCTACTTCCGGGAGCGATGGCC